CTGCTCCTCTGATGCTGCTTGGCCTGCTGTGTTCATCCAGCTCTACACCTTGTTATCTCAGATTCTCCAGCATTGGCAGTTCCTACTATCTCTGAAAAAATTTTAGTGTAGATTTGTAGCTCGGGTTGTGGGTGTTGAGGTTGGTTGGCTCGCTGAGCTGGTTTGTTGTTCCGCAGACGTTTCATTACCATTTTGGGTAACATCGTTAGTGCAGCCTCCGATGAAGCACCGTTGTGTTTTCTCGCCTGTTATTTAAACTCTGAGGTCCGTTGAACTGGATTACCTCACTTCCAGTTTTCCTTCCCAATGGAGTGTATATGGGGTCTAGCTCTAAGTGTTTATTGATGGCTTTCTTAGTGGAGTACCAGGCTTTTAGGAATTCCTGTGCCTGTCTCTGCTTCACCTGTCCCAGGATCTTGGTGTTGTCCCAATCGAATTGATGGTTCTCCTTATCCATGTGGATGGAAATGAGTGAGTATTGGTTTTTTTTGTTGTCAATTGATGTACGTGTACCCTTGTTGTTAATTTCCTTCATGTTTGTCGGATGTAGTCTCTGCAGGGAATCTTGTATATGACATTGGTCCTGTCTATAGTGGGTAGTGGGTCTTTGGTTCGGGTGAGCAGTTGGCATAGGGTTGATATGGGTTTGTGTGCTACTCTGATGCCCTAACAAACACATAGAGCTAGACCCCATATACACTCCATTATGAAGGAAAACTGGAAGTGAGGTAATCCAGCTCAACGGACACCAGAGTTTAAAAACCAGGCGGAAAAACACAACGGCGCTTCATCGGAGGCTGCATTGATGATGTTATCCAGGAGGGTAATGAAACGTCTGTGGAACAACAAACCAGCTTGGCGAGCAAACCAACCACAAGACAAAACACACGATGAGTTGCCAAATTATTTCTGTAGGCTGAGCAAGGAGAATGCTGTTACCAGTGTTGTTCAATTGTGAGTTTTGGAATTACATTGTAAAAACTTAAAACACTTTAAGACATTTTTTTTAGATTTCCTTTCTCAGACTGTCCAAAGGCTATCTAACAAATGTAGTTGATGTTTTTAAATCTTTAAACATTATTTTAACTTAACATTCATACTTTTAGATCTTTACTTAGTCTTATATTTATTTACAGTGAAATATTACAAATATATGCCTCCTAATTCTACTTCATAAAGGTTCACTAAGTTTTTCTTTAAAGTGCTCAAGTAAAATCCAATTTAACGTCTTCAACTTACAGAGAATTAATACAATTGACATTCAATTAATAAGCCACACTTCTATATCATGACTTATACTATAATAACAAAGGCAAATAGGTAGGATAACTGTTTCATCAAGACTACCATTCCTTGGAACCAATTCCCCACAAAAATATCTTCAATAGCTAGAGCATAGAATCTGGAGCCTAGAGTTTAGAGTGTAGAGCCTGAATTAACTCATAGAATGTTTATTCCATTCATTGCTCCTGACCTAATATCACCATCTTCAGTGGAAAGAAATTTCTGACTTTATATTGTTCTTTCCCAGGATGTGAAACTATGAAGCACTATCTATCCATACTGCAATCCCATTGCCACACTACAGAGATAAAAAATACATGGGATCTGAAACTCTCCTGCACACAACACTCTCTTTCTCTCTCTCTCCCACAAACACACACACACACTCTCTCCACTGCCCCCACTCACATACACACATGCACAGACTCACTCTCTCTCTCCCCCCAACTCACTCATATATACACACACACATACACACACACACACACACACACACAAACATATAAATCTATGGGGTGAATTTGTATTTGCAGATACATTCAATTTATTCAAAAAGCACACAATTTATTGACAGTCAGTCAATATGGCATTTTATAAATTCTACTTTTAGAAACAAAACCAGTCTGACTCCAAACCAAAACATAAACAGATTCTAAACAAGGCCTCACATCTAACTTGTATTGTCTGACCTAAAATGTTATCTCTTCTTTACACTGATAAAACTTTTAGTTCTCTCAGGACAGTGACTTGAAAGGTATTTGGGGAGTTACATATACATATTAATCAATTAAAACTTTTTAACTGATTAAAGATTTAACAGCATCTTAGGTTTGTTTAATACACCCTCATCAGTGGTGTGACCCTTTCATGTTTTAGTTATAAATTCTGTGTCTGATTCCACCTCTCTCACTAACACCTGAAGAAGGACCAAGGCTCCAAAAGCTTGTGTTTTCAAATAAACCTGTTGGACTATAACCTGGTATCGTGTGATTTCTGTCCACCCCAGTCAAACACCGGCACCTCTACCTCATATTACTATTAATATTAATAGTAATATTACACTATTATTGTAATAGTGCCCTTCTTACATGCCTTTTCTATCTCCTGATTTATTTTCTTCCCCACATCCTGACTACTGCTAGGAGGCCAGTACATAACTACCATCAGTGTCTTTTCTTCCTTTGCAGTTCCTCAACTCTACCCATACAGATTCTATGCCCTCTGACTCAATATCACTTCTTGCAATTGAATTAATTTCATAACTTATTAAAGCAGCAACACTGCCCCTCTGCCCATCTGCCTATCCTCTCAATAGGATATGGTTTAGTTCCCAGTCTTGATTCCTTGCAGCCACTTCTTTGTGATATTCACAACATCATACCTGCCAATTTCAACATGCCCTACAAACTCATTTACCTTGTTTCATATACTGCATGCATTTAAATACAACACGCTCACTCCTGAGTTGGCTGCCCCCCACTTCTCATAGTTGTCCCCTTATCTCCTGTGCCTGAAATTAGATTCCTGACCCTTTCCATACACTCTGTCCTATTACTTGTTCTGGAAATTTTAATCTCTGCTGAGACCTCCCCCCCGCTTTAACTTTGTCCATAACTTTCCAAGCCTCCCCCCACCCCATCTATTCAGTTTAAAGCCCTAGCCACAGCCTTGGTTATGTGATTCGCAGTGATTCTGCTCCAAGCATGATGAAGCCCATCCCATCTGACCAGCTCCCTCCTTCCCCAGTACTGATGCCAATGTCCCATGAATTCGAATCCGTTTCTCCCACACCAATCTTTGAGCCACAAAGGTCTTTTATTACCTTGTAGGCCCCACAGATCCAGGACCAGAGCATGGCTTTGTAGATAGTTCAGTAGTTCCTGTGACACACTTTTGACAGTGAATTGCGTTACTTGATCAATTCTTGCATTGACAGTGTTCCAGGTAGGTTTGGTGCAGAAAGGGTATGGATGGTTAAAGACATTATACCTGAAGAGATTAGCACACAGTTAATCTTTCTCACAGCCCTGGCTTATGAGTTCGTCAGGTATACTTTTCACATACACTAACGTGCGCATTAATTGTGCACAAGCTACCACTAACAGAATATGTCAATAATTGTATACGAGATATAATTTTTTCAGCAATTACTGGCTGCATACTGTTAGGCATCTAGACTTTAGATTCTAGACTCTTTGGTATCCATGATACACGATGAGAAAGTGCACAATTGTTGTTAAACTTGATTAGTACAGGATTTAATTAAAACTCCTCTACCGTGTGCACTTGTCACAGTGACTTCTCTTCACAACACTTCCATCCACTACGTAGAATTGTGGTAAATTTACAACATAGCTAACAGGCCATTCAGGCCATCAGCTTCATTCTGGTATTTGTGTTTCAAAGGCACCCATGGAATCCTATTGCAACAAGAGTCACATATTTGGGAAGGATCATAGTCATTTTTAGAAATGCTCATAATGTAAGCAGAACTCTTTTTAACACTCCAAGCATAATTTTTAAAAAGTATGTAAAGGGCAGGAGATTAAATGTCATGATAGGTGAAGAGCTTGTCTTTAAAACTCCTTTTGATGCTTTTGACAGTTTCGATGAGTTTATATATTTTTTATATTTTTAAATGCGTTCATATCTACTTTTCAGAATTCTAAAGTGCACTTCATCTCTCCCAAAGGGCAGTTCATTTCTCCAAACGTGTACCTGACCTTAACCAAAGGTGTCCCAGAACCAAATCCAATGACTACTGCCCAGTGGCTCTGACCTCAATAATCATGAAGTTCTTTGAGAGCCTGGTCATGACCCACATCAAGTCCAGTCTCCCAACCTGCCTCGATCCCTTACAATATACCTACCGACATAACAGGTCCACAGCAAATGCTGTATCCCCAGCCCTGGAACTTCTGGACATCAAAGACACCTACGCCAGACTCCTCCTCATTGACTACAGCTCCACCTTCAACACTATTATTCCCCTCCAGACTGATCTCAAAACTACATGACCTTGGTCCCAGCTCCACCCTCTGCAACTGGATCTTCAGCTTTCTGACCCATAGGCTGCAATCAGTGAGGATAGGTAACTGCACCTCCTCCACAATAACACTCAACACTGGAGCCCCCCAAAGAATGTGTCCTCAGCCCCCTATGGTACTCCCTGTACACTCACAACTGTGTTGCCAAATTCCAAACGAATGCCATCTACAAGTTCGCTGATTACACCACCATAGTGGGACGGATATCCAACAGTGACAAGTCACAATTCAGAAGAGAGATAGGGGGCTTGGTGACATGGTGTAATGAAAACAACCTCTCTCTCGACGTCAGCAAAACTAAAGAACTGATCATTGACTTCAGAAAGACAGGAGGAGAACACACCCCCATCTACATCAACGGAACTTAGGTTGAGAGGGTGAACAGCATCAAGTTCCTGGGAGTGACGATAACTGACGAACTGTCCTGGACTTTCCACGTACATGCAACAGTCAAAAAGGCACAACAATGCCTCTTCTTCCTCAGGCAGCTCAGGAAATTTGGCCTGTCCATAAGGTCCCTCACCAACTTCTACCATTGAAAGCATACTGTGCAGGTGCATAATGGCCTGGTATGGCAACTGCTCTGCCCAGGACCGTAAGAAACTACAGAAGGTGGTGTGCACAGCCCAGACCATCACAGAAGCCAACCTCCCATCCATGGACTCTATTTACATGGCTCACTGTCGCAGAAGGCGGCCAACATCATCAAAGACCCATTGCACCCTGGCAATGACCCCCTACAACCTCTTCTGTCAGGTAGAAGATACAAAAGCCTGAAAACGTGCATGAACAGGTTCAGGAACAGCTTCTTCCTGGCCGTTATTAGACTGAGGAATGGACTCTCTAGCCTCAAATAATGCTGATCTTGCTAACGTTGATCTCGCCTAGCACACGCCCTGTGCAATGTAGTTTTGGAATACCTCACTATCATACAGTTGGTATTGTTCATGTATAAGCCTTCACAGTGAGTATCTGACTATTGGAGTCTCACATTGCCCTGATATCTGGACATTCAAGTGAGAGATCAATGGAGAGCAATTAGGAGCGCAAACAGGAACTGATTTTATTCACTTCTTGGCTAAAGAAACTGAGGCCAGCTGCACAATTCTATGGGATTACTGATACAGTTCAATTAAAACATCCTGGATTGGAGACTGGATATGGAATATTCGTGTCAGAAACCACAAAAGCTGGAATTGAAAGATAGCTGCAAGTAGCTGAGGAAAAGACAATGTATTGCTTCAGGTGAGACTCATTGTCAGAAAGCAACCATCTAGGTTTCATGACAAACAGTTCCTCAATGGAAGGAGGGAAAATCCTCTTTACCTAATAGCAACCAATGAATATCTAAGCCCTGACTCCAATCTTAACTGAGAGTTGTGTAGTTTATGACTTAGAGGCAGAAAGATGTAAAATGTCCCAGGAATTCAAAACCATCTTGTAAAACCCACACCTTCGCACAGTTTTAGTCACAATATTGTCCTGTAGGCATCTCTTGTCATCAGAGAAGGCAGAATAAAGAATGTTAAAACTTGGACTAGCCATCTGAGTTACAAGGAGAGACAAGCAAAACTGGGAATGTTTATACCGACAAAAAGACAACTCTGGGAAAAACTTGTTTTACATTGCAAGATGCACAAAAACATTGAATCTTAATAACAATTGCACATGGCCAGCAACTCTGTGTAGGTCATGTGCTGCAATAGATAGTGTTAGTGTCTCTGAGCCACAAGTTCCAGGTTCATGTCCCACTCCAAGTTGAGAAACGAGTGCTCATAATATGGCCAAACAGGTTGAATATCAACCTTCAAATCATTCCAAAACGTACCAATGGTAGATGGAAAAAGCGGGAGAGATTCTTGGTCAACCACATGGTGGTAACAACATTGGAGCTTCTGTCATCTCTATTCGTAGCTCCAAATTACAACAGGTGTGTTAAAAAATAATGTATGTCAACACATCAACTTGGACTCCCTACGTAAATTGTGACACATCACTACTAATCAAGAACTTTACCACAAATGCTATGTACTCAAATGCAGAAGAGGAGAGAAAATGCAGCATGGATTTCATGTCTTTATGCAAAAGATGATGAAACAGTGGATCAGATTTCCCAGGAGAGCGATGAAGACCTATGGCATCTACAAATTCGAGAAGAAATATATTATGTTGCAGAGAAAGGACTGGGGGATTTGGGAGATAAAACATGCAAACTCTGGGATTAATTAACAAGGTGTCTTTTCCTTGGGGTGAGGGATTTCAAGACTGGGGTCATATTTTTATATTTTAGAGGAGAAAGATTTAAAAAGTACTTGGGGGCAATTTTTTTACATGGACAGTGGCTTTTGTGTGGAATGAACTTCCAGAGGAAGTGGTGGAAGTGGGTACAGTTACAACGTTTAAAAGACATTGATAAATACACGAATAAGAAATATTTGGAGGAATGTGGGCGAAGCACAGGCAGATAGGACTAGTTTAGTTTGGGATTATGGTTGGCGTGGACTGGTTAGACCAAAGGGTCTGTTTCTGTCCTCTATGACTCTATGACTCGAAGATGGCAATGGTTTTCAGTCATGTCCATTCTTATTGTTGGGTCAGGGGTGTCCTGCAGGGTGCTTGACACCCATTGACCAAATAATCATCATGTTTAATTCCATATGAAAAGATATTCTTACTGAATCTGAATTCCTCTCTTGCTGTTCTGTTTCAGCCACTTGATTCCCAAGCACTGCTTAATCTGAACCTGAAGATCCAACCTCTGACCCACCATTTCTGTGGGATCGATGAGGATCTCATCTTCACTCAGAGGTCTAGAAAAAAATACAGACTGATCTAATATTCTGAAAATGTACATAATAAGGCACAGTCATACTATATACACCAATTCTCAGGATGATTAGCTGCACATGGCAATGCAAATTGTTCAGAAGAGATATACCACTGTCTTCACAATACAGTGTAGCCAAATAAAGTAAAGCTACATGTTTAACATTCATATCCAAAATGCCAAAGGAATTCATAGAATCTCTACAGTTTAGAAGTAGGCCATTCAGCCAATCAAGTCCACGCAGACCCTCCCACTCCTGCTCTATCCCCAAAAACCTCCATTTCCCATGGCTAACCCACCTCGCCCGCATATACCTGGACACTATGGGCAATTCAGCAAGGCCAATGCACCGAACCTGCACATCTTTGAACTGTAGGAGAAACCTGCATAAACATAGGGAGAAATGTAAACTCCACACTGACAGTTGCCCAAGGCTGGAATTGAACCTGGGCCCCTGGTGCTATAAGGCTGCAATGCTGAGCCACATGACTGTAATTGAGACAAGCTATTGAGATAATCATATTCTTTTTAAGATTTAAAAGATTGAAAATTACATTTTGGGATGCCTTGGGAATTGAATATTTTCTCTTTGGCCTGATTGTAGTTATACTGTTAGCAGCACAATGACTGAGTGTAACTTCTAAAGGTGATCTCAAACCATTGGTTCACAGTTTAATTCAAATAATTTTACATTTGGATTGTATCAGACTTACATAGCATCAGACTATTCTTCAATATAAGAGGTGCGGTGCAACTGTGCCTATGTTTTTCCCCAGCGAGCATTTTAGTAATTTTTGTATCAACCAATATGATCTATACCAGTAGAGATTTGCAGCAGCATGGTCTGCTTTTCCACAGAGTGGTTGCACCAGAGGTGATTGCTTTTCTTTCAAAGGGAAAATGGACAAGTGTTTAAAGTACAGGAAATTATGGGATGACTGGGAGAGAGTGGAGCAGTAGGATTCACTCTGAAATGTTCTACAGAAGAAGCTATGCAGGCACAATGGGTTGGTTCGCTGTCCATTGTGCTGTTACTGTCTGTAATATATATTTACAGGACTGGAGTGATTTGATTGTTGACTGCCGAAGATTTCATTTTAGCCTATGTTACAGCCTTCCTAACATACTCAAAGCGGATATGCAAAACATTAGTCTGTCTTTTGTGATAAATTTTGGCTTGAATGGTTGTTTGGAAAGAAAAAGACAAACTGAAAACACCTCTTCTGAAACTTACTGTCCAGATGGAGTGCATGGCACCAGATTCATCTGTAAAACAGCCTCTTCTTCACCTTGTGAATTGTGAAACTCTACATGTTCTTCTAGTGGAATACAGTAGTTGAGAGATTGAAGCCAGATGTATGCAGTTCCTAAATGGACTGCCTCAATAGGGTCCCAGAATGGATCACTCTCTCTATCCAGAGAAACGGTCTGTCCATCGATGAAACGCTGATATATGTCTTCCATGATGAACTTTCTATTCACAAACTTAGCCTTTGACCAGACCCATACCTGTGATATTGGAGAACCATGGGGATCAGACCTTCTAGTTCTCTAGACCAAGGACATGAGATATAATGCTTTAATGCAAATTACAGTAACCAGAGTGTTCAGTTCAAACATACACAACTTTGCATCAACAGTTATTATGTGTATAAAGTTGCACTCAGTTGGGAATGAGACCTTGCTCCTTTATCTTGCAATGATGAATTGTTCCTAAGTTTCTGTCAGAGTTTTTTCAGCGGTATGGCGGCTAATTGGTTAGCACTGTTCCCTAACAGCACCAGGGACTTGGGTTTGATTCCACCCTTAGGCAATTGTTTGGAGTTTGCACATTCTCCATGTGTCTGTTGCATTTTTGCCCACAGTCCAAAGATATGCAGGTTAGTTGGATTGCCCATGCTAAATTGCCCAGAGTGCCCAGGGATGTGTGGGTTAGGCAGATTAGCCATGGGAAATGCAGGGTTATAGGGATATGCTGGGGGAGGGGTGGGGCGGGGGTCGTCTGGGTAGGATGCTATTCGGAAGGTGGGCTGAATGGCCTGCTTCCGCACTGTAGGGATTCTATGATTCTTGTTACATCATTAGGAGACCCATGAAATTAACTCAGTGAAGGTATCCACCTGACATTTGTTCCCTATTGATAGTTCCAATTTTACCCCAGATTTGATTTAAAATAGGGGACTTTTGTGCGGAGCAAGAGAAACTGCTCGAACTATTCTCACGTAAGATTTTTACAGCTGACAGGAGAGAGGAGATCTTAATCATGTCAACTGAATGAGCGTCTTACATCGCCTATTCCCAAACAATACTTCTCTTCCACGGCCACCAGCATATCCAAATCCCATACTCAATGGTGCTATGAAAGGAAAATGGATTTTAAAATTGGGAAAAGTGGTTAAAGAGGAAAAATAACTTTCTTCTAATGCAACACAATTGGTGTCAAAGCATTTCATATGAATGTATTCCTCCATACCTGATGAGTCACTTTATTTGTCACCTTCACTATCACCTCCTTCACAAGGTCATGGCCCCTGGAGTCTGTTAATGCCAAGTTCTTCACTTCCAATTCAAACTTGAGATCCTGCCATTAAACAATTAAAATACTATAAAGTCACAGAAACAGACCCTTCGCTCCAACTCGTCCATGCTGACGACATATTCTAAACTGAACTAGTCCCGTTTGCCTGTGTTTGGCCCATATCACTCTAAACCTTTCCTATCCATGTACCTGTTCAAATGTCTTTTAAATGCTACAATTGTAGCTACCTCTACAACTTCCTCTGACAGCTCATTCCATTCACACACCTCTGTGTGAAAAAGTTGCCCCTCATGTTCCTTTTATATATATTAATGATTTGGAAGAGGGAACAAAATATTGCATCTCCAAGTTTGCAGATGATACCAAGTTGGGTGGGGGTGGGGTGGGGTGGTCAGCGAACTGTGACAAGGATGCAGAGATCCTTCAGCATGATCTTAACAGGTTCGATGAGTGGGCAAATCAATGGTAGATGCAATATAATTTAGTAAATGTGAGGTTATTCAATTTGAAAGCAAAAGCAAGAAGGCGGATTACTACCTGAATGGCTGTAAATTGGGAGAGGGGAGTGCGCAGTAGGACCTGGACGCCCTTGTGCCCCAGTCACTGAAGGTAAGCATGCAGGTACAGCAGGTGGTAAAGAATGCAAATGATATGTTGGCCTTCATTGTGAGAGGTTTCGAGTACAGGAGCAGGAATGTGTTGTTGCAGTTATACAGGGCCTTGGTGAGACCACACCTAGAATATTATGTGTAGTTTTGGTCTCCTTTTCTGAGGAAGGATGCTCTTGCTCTCGAGGGAGCGCAGCGAAGGTTTACCAGGCTGATTAAGGGGATGGCGGGTCTGACATATGAGGAGAAATTGACTAGGTTGGGGGTAGCAAGAACTGCAGATTGTTTTTGCAGGAAAAACAGACAAATGAGGGAGGATCTCAGACACCTTTAAAATTCTAACAGGACTAGACAGGGTAGATGCAGGGAGCATGTTCCCGATGGTGGGTGTGTCCAGAACCAGGGGTCACAGTAGATTTAGGACAGAGATGAGGAGACATTTCTTCACTCAATGAGTGGTGAGCCTGTGGAATTCATTACCACAGGAAGTAGTTGATGCCAAAACATTGAATGTATTCAAGAAGTGAGTAGATATTGCATTTGGGGTGAATGGGATCAAAGGTTATGGGGAGAAAGCAGGATTAGGCTATTGAGTTGGACGATCGGCCATGATCGTGAAGAATGGTGGAGCAGGCTCGAAGGACTGAATGGCCTCCTCCTGCTCCTATCTTCTATGTTTCTATGATCTAAATCTTTCCCCTCTCACCTTAAGCCTATGCCATCTAGTTTTGGACTTCCTTACCCTTGGAAAAAGACCTTGGCTATGCACCAAATTTAAGCCCCTCATGACTTTATAAACCTCTATAAGGTCACCCCTCAGCATCTGACGTTCCGGGGAAAAAAGTCCCTGCCTATCTAGCCTCTCCTTATAACTCAAACCCTTCGTCCTGGCAACAACCTTGCAAATTTTTTCTGTACCCTTTCTAGCTTAACAACATCCTTCCTATAGCAGGGTGATCTATTTGAGCATCATGTCACTTTGGTGCTGAGGGAGTACTCCACTGTCAGAGATGTCATCTTTGAGATTAACCTGAGGCCATGTCTGCTCAGTATTCTGAAGAATATCCATGTCAAACTCAAAACATTAACTCTGTTTCTCTTTTCACAGATGCTGCCAGACCTGCTGGGTTTCTCTGGCATTTTCTGTATTTATGCCGTGCCTGCTGTCTCTAAGAAAGATCCCTTTCATTCAAACAAAAGATGGGTATTATCCTAGCATCCTGGACAACATTCCTCCCTTGAACAACATTATTAAAAACAGTTGGTTATTCATTGATTTGCTGCTTGTGAGTCATGGATTTGTGGAAATTAGATCCTCCAAACCCATCTTCCAAACACCAGTAACTTTACATCAGACATAACTCATCAATTGTAAAGCATTCTTCAGGATGTAAAAACTGTGAGGTAAGTGTGAGTTTACTCCTCAACAATGTGACACAGCATTGCCTGTCTAGAGGAGGATGAAAGAGAAAGATAGTGAGATTCGTGCAAGAGAGAGAAAAAAGAAATAGCATGATTACCTTATTTAACTCCTTGCTGATCTGGTTTGCTTCCACCGCCAGAGGCTTCACCCTGATGTAATCAAGGAACACAGCAAGCACACTCGGGTCCACTTTCTTGTTCCTACTTGTAGGACCTGGTCAGTGGGCGATCAGAAAGTTGTTAGAGTCACAGGGAATAACTGCTGCTTGTGAATCACTTACCCCACTCCTTAACCAGACATTTCTGTGCAGTTGAACAATTAAAATATGACTACTGTGTTACCAGAAGAAAATACGGATCTATGATTTAGTGCTATCCATTGCAGTTGTCAAGGCTTTTGACCCCTTCATAGTGCGTATTAAATGTATTAAAAATCCTCCAGGACCACCACAAAGCCACTGATTGTTTCTGAACAAACACCAACACTCAAACATCATGCTAGTTTAAACCTGAAAGTTCATGGAGTCATAGAGTCATACAGCAGGGAAACAGACCCTTTTGTCCAACCAATCCAATCCAATCATGTTTCCAAACTAAACTAGTCCCACCTGTCTGCATTTGGCCCATATCCCTCCAAACATTTCTTATTCATCTACTTATGTAGATGTTTTTTAACCATTGTAACTGTACGTGTTAGTTAGTTGGTTAGTTAGTTAGTTCATCACTAACTCAGTGTATTTTGTATAAATATTTGCTTTTGGGATCTGGTAACTGGGACCAGGCTGCATGTTTTACACGGCCAAGTTACCTGATCTGTATCAATTGTCTTCACAATTGAAAGGCCACTTCAGGAGGGATTAAGAAGGAAGCACATTTTGTAACATTACAGTCACATGTAGGTTGGACCAGGAGGCAGATTTCCCATTGAATGTCTGTCGTGGTTTTGAATGACAATCCAACAACTTTCAGAGTCTTTTTTCTCCCTTTGGTGCCAGTCTGCACATTTCATTAATGACTGGGTGCAGTGGATTTTGAACTCAGGACTGCTGCATTACTAACTCAGTACCATAACCAGGATACCACTGTAGTCCTGGCTTTACCTGCTTACCAAGAGCATCTCTGTCAAAACCTTCCACTGCTGCCAGCTCTGACTGGAAGAAGTCGTAGTCATATTTGCTCAAGTCCTCACCGTTCCGCTCGCAAGGAAATCCTACGTAGAGGTACGTGCTGTTGATCCCAGAATAAGTCTATCCTGAGGTACACAAAAGCAAAAATTAAAGCCAAAAGCACTTGTCATTGATTAGTTGCCCATTTCAAAACAGAACAACAAATATTTTTCCAACACATTTTAACGTAATTTTGAGGGAACAGCTTTTAAGTGAAAAAGTTGCTTTCTCTTCTGAATAAAACAAGAACTTGATTCAAATAGCACTTTCATACTGTGTGGTATTTGCTTTGACTGCCACTACAGGCATGTCATGGTGTATGACCAGAAAAGGAAGGTGTAGAAATAGATCATTCTGCTAATCGAATATACTCCACCATCCATTGAGATTATACTTGAGCCGATCACCCTTCACTTTCATGACTTATCCTTATGACACTTGATTTTATTTAAAAATCTGTCTCAGCCTTGAATATACCCAGTGACTCAACCTACTCAGCAGTAAAGAATTCCACAAATTAACTACCCTCTGAAAGAAAAAATATCCTGCTCATCTCTGTCTTAAATGTGCAACCTGTTATTCTGAGATCGTACCTTCTGGTCTTAGACTCTCCACAATGGGGAAACAACCCAACCACATCTACGCTGTGAAGTGCCCTAAGAACCTTATATTTTTCATTAAGGTCACCTCTCATTCATCAATACTCCAATGTGATGGCACTATGCCCTTTAAGAGAGATGTATTCTGTCCTGTTTCATTTGCAGAGAGGTGTTGACACAGTGGTGCTGAGATGTCTCCTTCAGATAGGCAGTTGGTAAACAGCTTTTGAGTTCTTCCTTGGTGTTGTTTTTTAATGAGACAAAAGAATCATGAGTGGACAGGATCAGGGCTCACACAGACCCGTGAAGGTTTTTAGTTTTGCTTTCAGTTAGAAGAAGACAAATGGAATGTTGGCTTTTATTTCAAAGGGAATGGAGTATAACAATAAGGAGGTCTTGCTAAAATTCTACGAGGACCCACCACAGACCATACCTGAAATATAGTAAACAGTTTTGATTCCATTAACTAAGGAAAGATATATCAGGAACTAAAACAAAGTTGCTGGAAAAGGTCAGCAGGTCTGGCAGCATCCATGAAGGTAAAAACAGAGTTAATGTTTCGGGTCCGGAGATTCTTCCTCAGAACCTGTTCCTGAAATGTTAACTCTGTTTTTTCCTTTACATATAAAGCATTGTTGGGCTACAACACAGCAGGAACAACAAAAGGGATTGATACAAGATGACTCCTAGATGGGCTTGTGAGCTCCTTTATTGCGCATCTGAGTCCTTGACAATTCATTGCCATTTCTTGGCTCTTTCTTTCCCAATCTCCTGTTTTCTATTACTACATTTCCATGGTTCCAATGGTTGGGGATTTAGTCTTAACTACAAGTTAATTTGGAGGTGCAATGGGTAATATCCTGGCCTCTGAGTCAGAAGATCCAGGTTTATGTTCCATTCCAGGACATGATGATTGCTAATAACATTGCTGAACCAGTTGATAATGGGTTTGTAATTTCTTCTTTTAACACATTTGCAGATGGTAAGAACAGGACAGATTCCTGACCAGCTAGTGGAGCCTCTACCATTCATAGCTCTGGACTACTCCTAGTAATAATGCATGTTTACACAATAACATGCACTCCCTGAGAAATTGATAACACTGCATTCAGTAGTTATTTGATAGTTTCAACAGAGTTTATTCCTTGTCCGTGAAAGCACTGTATCTGTTCTTACATTTGCATTCCAAATTCTTGCATTTACAGTGGACTACAGCTAAAGATTCAGTTGTTCCAATCTGCTGTTCATTTGTTCAGGTTTTATGTCTTTTACCAGGCTAAAGTGCATCCCCACCACTGTTGTTACTCACTAAGCTTGGGACCGCCCTAATATATTTTCATCTTCAGCTAGAGTCCACTAGAATTTTGTTTTCCTTTGTCAAAGTCCATATCTCCACCGCCTCCACATCTTACAGATCTCCTCTGATTGTCTGAGAAACAGTTGCCATGGAATCTTTGCATCTACCTGAGCAGGTAAGTGGGGCCCCAGTTCGTCAGGTTGATAGCGTTGTTAAGAAGGCGTACAGTATGTTAGGTTTTATTGGTAGAGGGATTGAGTTTCGGAGCCATGAGGTCATGTTGCAGCTGTACAAAACTCTGGTGCGGCCGCACTTGGAGTATTGCGTACAGTTCTGGTCACCGCATTACAGGAAGGATGTGGAAGCATTGGAAAGGGTGCAGAGGAGATTTACCAGGATGTTGCCTGGTATGGAGGGAAGGTCTTATGAGGAAAGGCTGAGGGTTTTGAGGCTGTTTTCGTTAGAGAGAAGAAGGTTAAGAGGTGACTTGATAGAGACATACAAGATGATCAGAGGATTAGATAGGGTGGACAGTGGGAGCCTTTTTCCTCGGATGGTGATGGCTAGCACGAGGGGACATAGCTTTAAATTGAGGGGTGATAGATATAGGACAGATGTCAGAGGTAGGTTCTTTACTCAGAGAGTAGTAAGGGCGTGGAATGCCCTGCCTGCAAAAATAGTAGACTCGCCCACTTTAAGGGCATTTAAATGGTCATTGGATAAACATATGGATGATAATGGAATAGTTTAGGTTTGATGGGCTTCAGATTGGTTTCACAGGTCGGTGCAACATCGAGGGCCGAAGGGCCTGTACTGCGCTGTAATGTTCTATGTTCTATGTCATTTCATTCAAAAGACAGCACTTCCAACAGAGCAGCATGCGTTCAATGGACAGCCCAAGTGGATTTCTGTGTTCAAAGTGAGATTTCAGCACAAAACCCATGCTTTAGATGTGAGATCCACTATTGGCGTATATTACGCTGCATATAATTATTTCACCAAATTTATTCTTTCATGGGATGTGTGCGTACTGCATTTGCTGCCAAACTGTAACTGCTTTTGAACTGAGTACTGTAGATTGCTAGGCCAAAACAGAGGGAAGTTAAGAGGCAACCACATCGCTGTGGGTCTGGAGTCACATGTAAGCCAGACCAGGTAAGAATGGCAGTTTCCTTCTCTAAAGGGTATTCATAACCTAGTTGAGCCAATCAATGATACTTATCAGGGCCACCATCACTGAGGGTATCTTACAATTCCTGCTTCTCCTTAATTGTATTTACATTCCCCCGGTTGCCCAGTTGGGATTTAAATCCATGTCCTCAGTGGGTTAGCTCCAAAGACATTACCATCATACCACGGTGTCCCTTAAGTCTTCACAAAGAACAGCTTCTTTTAAAAAAGACAAGAGAATTACCAAATGTTTAAGTTGAACTTTAGCAAAGACAAGGACCCCATTTAAAGTCACTTTAGCTTGTCCACAAGGCTCCAGGGTTACTTTATTGTCGAGATTTGTGACGATGGCATGTTTATCAGCAACACTAAAGAAGAGAAAAGGCATAAAATCGATCATTTTTAGTCAAGCAATAGCGACTTCACAATATGCATACTACTGTGTTATACACGAACACAAGAACCACAGGCAGGAGTAGACTATTCAACCTCTCAAGACTGCTCCACTATTTGATACAAATGTTTCTGATCACATCTCAGCCTCAACTCCACTTTACAGCCTGCTCCTGATAACCCTTCAACCCAACACTACTTAAAAATCTGTTTGTCCTCTCCTTAAATTTACTCCAAGCCCTGGCATTCACCACACTCCAGGATAGTGAATTTCCCAGAATCATGACCCTTTGAGACAAATGATTTCTCATCTCTGTTTTAAGTCTGCTACCCTTTTGCCTAAAACTAAGAGAAAGCATCTCTTCTATGCCTACTTTGTCAATTTCCTTTAGCACCCTATGTACCTCAATTAGATCTCCTCTCATACTTCTAAACTCCAGACAGTATCTGCCTAAACGTTCAGTCTCTGTTCATAAGACAAACCACTCAGCACTGGAATCAATTTAGTAAAGCTCCTCTGATCTGTGTCCAATGCAACTTCATCCGTTCTCAAATAAGGGGAAAAAAAAAACTTGATGCAATATGTCCAGTGCGATCTCACTAATGCTTTGTACAGTTGCAGCAACACTCCCCTACTTTCATACTCTATTCCTTTAGCAATAAATGCCAAAATTCCATCTGCCTTCCTTATTCCTGGCTGTACCTGCATACTAGTTTTCTGTGATTCATGCATAAGGACACCCAGTTCCCTATGCATTGAAGCAATTTGAAATTTCTCTTCATTCAGACAATAAGTTGCTTTTCTATTCTTCCGATCAAAATGGATAACCGCATACTTATCCATGTTAAACTCTATCTGCCAAATTGTGGCATTTGTAAATTTCCTTATTTCTTATTGTAACATACTTTCTACATATATTAGTGTATTTGCAAATTTGTCTATAGTGCTCGCTATCATCAATATCATTAATACAGATTATAGATTGTTGGTGCCTCAGGACTGAACTCTATGGTACCCTAATAGTTACATCTTGCCAACCAGAAAAAGATGCATTTAACCCAACTCTCTGCTTTCTGTTGGTTAGCCAATCTTCTATCCAAGCTAATAAATCACCTCTAACCTCATGTGACCTTACTTTGTGTACTCACCTTTTGTGTGGCAACTTATCAAATGCCTTCTATAAATCCAGATATACTACATCTACTGGATCCTCATTATCCAACTTGCTTGTTTCACCTTCAAAGAAATCTGGCAAATTAGTCAGACACAATTTACCCTTCATAAAACCATGCTAACTCTGACAGATTGTGCTTGACTTTGCAAATGCCTTGTTATTCCTTCCTTAATAATGAATTCTGACAATTACTCAACAACATGCAACAGATTACAGTGTGACAGTCCATAGCACTTTAGAAATTCCCAGGACAGAGAGAGGCCATTCAACCCATTAAGTATGTTCTGAGCAATTCACCCGTAGCTTTGCTTCAAGTATTTATCAAATTTTCTATTAAAATATGTAATGGTCTCTGGCACATACACTCTGTCATAATGCAATCCCTCTTCCAAAAATTCTGGATAGAGGAATTTCCTCATTAATTTTCTCACTCTCTTTGCAAAAGTCATTGTCTCCTCACCTAGAAGTTTTTTTTCCTTATTTACTCTATCAATTTCTTCATCATTTTTTAAAAAAAGACCTCTAGTTCAATCTCCTTTGCTCCAATTATGAACTGTCTCAGTGTCAAGTCTGTGTCACATCTCTGGTAATGTTTGTTGAATTTATACATCTGCTTTCTCTGTTACATTTATCCTATAAAGTGGTACCTAAAAGTGAATGCAGCACTCAACTTGCAACTTTATCAATCTTTTGAAACAATTTATTGCCACTTTTTGCACATTATTAGACTTTTTTTGAAGTACTATGCACCTACCATTGCACTTTTAGAGATTTATTTAAACTCCTGTGTTTCTTTCTTATTCAATCACTTGAGCATCTTGTCTTTGTGGTTTCTTTTCTCAAAGACCCACTTTGAATTGCACTAGCCATGTGTCTGCCCATTCCAATAACCCGCTTTCCTGAAATCTTTTAGACATTTTCCCAGGAGATGTTTTACGTGTCAGGCATAAATTCCGAGAATGTTTTTTGACAGGTCATTCACCCATGGCAGGGAGTAGGAAGCACAGCTGAGCCTGTTTATGTCTTCACCTGATATCCATGTAAGTGTCCACTATCCAGCAGAAATGACCGGATAGCAATGAGGAGCAGCATTCTCAGACTGGGGGATTGAATGCCTTGCAGCTCTTGCCATTCTGACTTGGCTGTGATTGCCTAATGAATCAACCACAAAGAACCTTGTAACCTTGAAAATAAAGAACTTTGACCCTTAAACCTGTCTTCTAAGATTTGGGAGATTTGAGTCACCGTGGGCAGTGTTTCATGTCAGGACTTGACAGCCATGGAAAGTGTGTTTATAACGCAGCTTAAGAGACTGATTATCAACCTACAAATCCTTCCATCACATGCCAAGGTAGTAAAAGAGTGGAAGAGACTCCAGGTCACCAATGCAATGTGGTGCCTGTCAGGTTATAGCCACTGGCTTCAGGCTGGTGACCTGTTCTAGGAAACACAATCTGCTGTAAACAGATATAGGCGTGGGATTTGCTTGCCTCATGTATTTCTAGACATGAAAGGTTTGTTTGGTCTATATGGATACTAATGAGGCAGCTCTAATTCCTAACTAATAAATGAAGGACGCAAAGCATCCCCTTCCTAAATGAAGAAAGTATAACACAATAATTATTTAGCTCACAAATCTGCGAATGTAAATAGCTCCTCATTTACATACTATCACTGTCAATAATCTAGCAACTTGTCAGTACTTTGCAAGAAACTTCCAGTTGACTATTCCAGTAGTTTGTAAGCATTTTTAAAATAAAAGTATCCCATTGAGTTTTCCACATACCCGAAACCTTTAATAACAATCGCCTGTGAGAAACTTGTAGATTGTCCCATGACAGTCTCTCCTGAAACAAAGCACAGGCATTCTAAGCTCTACAAGTGCATTCAAAACGTCAATGAAGGCATAACATCCTGTAAAATTAAATGTGCAAGGAACAGGTATCATTCATGCTTGTGTGAACAGGTCACATAATTGCACTTAATCTCTCTATCTTCTCAGTGTGTGAATGTTGTACACAAACACTGCACTGCAAGGCATTAAATTGCAGAACTTTTTGGTCCTTCTCGCCACAATGTAAACCTAACAATCTGATGAATGATAAACTGGGTGACTCCATCATTTTGTCATTTTTACTTCAGTCTATAGCATTTCCCTTAGGCTCATTCATGCCAAATTACCTCTTCAATGCCCAGGTATAGGAATGTAGAAACATAGATCTCAAGAGGAGGAATAGGCCACTCAACTTATCGAGTCTGCTCTGTTTTTCAATAAGATCATAGCTGGTCTGATTGTGGTCTGATCTCACCTTTCCTGTCTGCCCTCCATAACTCTTGCTTCCTTGTCCACTAGAAATCTAACTAAATCCAATGACACAACCTCCAGTGTTTCCTGGGAGAGAGAATTCCACAGACAAATGATCTCAGAGAAAAAAGAAATCCTCTCGTCTCCATCTTAAATTGTGTTACCTTAAAGTTTTTGAGAAGATGTGTGGATTGGGTTGTGGATGAGGTTGTAGATTTGCTTGCTGAGCTGGTGTGTTTGATTGCAGATGTTTCGTCACCTTGCTAGGTAACATTGTCAATCCACCTCCAGTGAAGCATTCGTGTTCTGTCCCGCTTGTTATATATATGCCTCAGTTTGTTGGGGTATTTGGTACCACTTCCAGCTCTGTTTCTCAGTGGTTTGGGGGTACACAGGGTCTAATTCAATGTGTGTGTTGGTGGAGTTCCTGTTAGAATACCAGGCCCCCAGGAATTCCCTGGTGTGTCTCTATTTGGCTGGTGCGATTATGGATGTGTTGTCCCAGTCGAATTCATGTCCCTCTTTGTCCTGTGTAGTGAGATAAGTGAGAATTGCTCGTGTCTCTTGGTGGCTAATTGGTATTTGTGTATCCCTATTGTCAGTTTTCTTCCAGTTTGGCCTATATAGTGTTTCTCACAGTCCTTGCATGGTATTTTGTATATTATACCAGTTTTGCTGGTGGGTTTAGGTTGTATAGTGGGGAGTGCTGTCCATTCTAACCTTTGCATTTGTGCATCTGTAATCAGTCCTGATATTCGGTATCCCATTAGTGTTCCATTGATTTGTTTGTATATGCTGTCATTGAAGGTGAAGCGGGTTGTGAGGCACAGATCTAATAGTTTCATGGTGGTGTTCTTATTGATGTTGTTAGTGTCCTGCTTACTTGATTTGTGGCAATTGTCTCTTTGGCTAAGTTGATGTTTTTGGATGTAAATAGTGCTGTTACGTTGAAGGATATCATCATCTCATCCTCTTCTTTCCTGGTGTTCTTGATGACGTTGCAGAATTCTTGGAATGAGTGGATGGAGTGGGTATTGTTCTCAACTAAGTATTTCAATTTCTGTTGTAGTTCTTTGGCAAGTCTCTATGTTGGTGTGCCTAGTAGTGAGACAATGGGTCTGAGGGAGACCTCCCGGTTTGTGTGCCTTGGGGAGTCCATAGAATCGGGGTGTGCTGGATCCCTCTGGCTTCACTTTTTGGTAGTCTGTCTTGCTGATGTTTCCTGAGTTGTGTAATTTCTTCAGGGTTGTTGTAATCTGGTTCTCTAACTGTGGTGTTGGGTCTATTGCCATCGGTTGGTAGGTGTTGGTAATTGCTAGTAGTGCGTTAGCTTTCTCGATGTATTGGGCTCTATTGATGATTACTGTCATGCATCCTTTGTCAGCTGGTAAAATTATAATGTTCCTGTCTTTCTTGAGTCTTTCCAGGGCTTTCCTCTCTTCTGTGTTGAATGTGTTCCACTTTCCTTTTTTGCTCAGTGTTGGGACTATCATCTGTCTGATGGTCTGTTGTACTTCTTCTGTGAGTCCGTTGCTCTTTAGTGTCAATTCCAGCGCAGCCAAGAAGTCAGTCTTTTTGGTGTCTCTCTAGTTATAATTCACTCTGCGTACTAGGACGGTCTTCTCAGTGTCTGTACGTGGTCGGTATGAGATGTTTTTAATCCATGAATCTGTGTTGTCCATGTCGTTGTTGTGGGTGATTTTGAACATGTTTTCTTGTAGGGTTATTCTTTTCTTTGTTCTGGTCTTTTGTTGTTGTATGCTGATGGCTTGTTCCAGTGTGATGTCCATTCCCGATCTGTTGCATTGTGTCATCTTGTTCTTGTCTCTCACACAAGAGAAAACATTCTCCTAGTAATCAAATTCTCTCAGGAACATATTCTTAAAGAATCACAAGGAGAATCCCAAGGCTTTTTATGCGTATGTTAGGAGAAAGAGGGTAACAAGGGAAAGAGTAGGCCCACTCAAGGACGAAGGAGGGAAGTTATATATAGAGCCACAGGAAGTGGGGGAGACCCTGAAAGAGTACTTTGTATCAGTTTTCACCAAGGAAAAGGACATGACTAATGTTGAGGTCAGGGATGAGTGTGTGAATACTCTAGAGAATGTCAACATATTGAAAGAGGAAGTTTTGGGAATCCTAAATTGCATTACAATAGACAAGTCCCCACGACCAGATGAGATCTTTCCCAGGTTACGCAGAGAGGCGAGGGAGGAAATAGCTGGGGCATTGGCAGATATCTTCACATCCTCGTTGACCACAGGTGAAGTTCCAGAGCACTGGAGATTAGCAAATGTTATTCCCTTGTTTAAGAAGAGATGCAGGGATAATCCAGGAAACTATAGGCCGGTGAGCTTGATGTCTGTGGTGGGGAAACTCTTGGAGAAGATACTGAGGGATAAGATATGTGCGCAATTGGAGGAAAATGGACTAGTTAGTAACAGGCAGCATGGTTTTGTTGGGGGAAGGTCATGTCTCACCAACCTGATTGAATTTTTTGAAGAGGCAACAAGGATAATTGATGAGGGAAGGGCTGTGGATGTAGTTTATACAGACTTTAGTAAGGCATTTGATAAAGTCCCATGTGGCAGGTTGGTACAAAAAATAAAATCACAAAGGATTCGTGGTGGCCTGGCTAGATGGATAGAAAACTGGTTTGGTCATAGAAGACAGAGGGTAGTGGTGGAAAGATGTTTTTCAGAATGGAGACCTGTAACTAGCGGTGTTCCACAGGGATCAGTCTTAGGCCCTTTGTTGTTTGTAGTATATATAAAGGATCTGGAGGAAAATGTGGGTGATCTGATAAGCAAAATTGCTGATGACCCAAAGATTGGTGGAGTTGCTGATAGTGCCAACGATTGTGAAAGTATACAACAGGATATACATAGATTGGCAACTTGGGCACAGAAGTGGCAGATGGAGTTTAATCCAGATAAGTGCAAGGTGATGCATTTTGGAGGATCAAATTTAGGTGTGAATTATATTGTAAATTCCTTAGGAACACTAACATTCAGATGGATCTGGGCATGCGGGTCCACAGTTCCCTGAAAGTGGCAACACAGGTAGCCAAGGTGATTAAGAAGGCATATGGCATGCTTGCCTTCATCACTCAGGGTGTGGAGTGCAAGAGTTGGCAAAACATGTTGCAGATATCTAAAACCCTTGTTAGGCTGCATTTGGAGTATTTGGTCACCACACTACCAGAAGGATGTGGAAGCTTTGGAGAGAGTACAAAGAAGGTTCACCAGGATATTGCCTGGTCTCCAGGGCATTGACTATGAAGAAAGGTTAAAAAGACTAGGATTGTTTTCACTGGAAAGACAGTGGCTGAGAAGAGACCTGATAGAGGTCCACAAAATTATGAGAGGGATAGAAAGGGTGGATAGTCAGAGGCTTTTTCCCAGGGTTGCAGCTTCAATTACAAGGGGGCACAGGTTTAAGATCAGAGGATGAAAGTTTAAGGGAGATGTGCAAGGGAAATTTTTCACGTAGAGAGTGGTAGCAGCCTGGAATGCACTACCAGAAGAGGTGGTGGAAGCGGGCACACTGAAGACAGTTAAGAGGCACCTAGATGGGTAATGAATAAGGACGGAATAGAGGGATACAGATCGAAAAATGGCAGGTTTGCTTTTAGATTAATTAGGGCACGATGGTCAGCACAGGCTTGGAGGGCTGAAGAGCCTGTTCCTGTGCTATACTTCTTCATTTGGTCATTTGTTCAAGTGTTACGTTGTTGAAGGAGGCCATTCAGCCAATTCTATCTGCACCAGCTCTACAAATGAGCATTATAATCTATTGCCAATTTCCTGTTTTCTTCCCATACCTTTGTTCGCTGTTTCTATCCATATAATCATCTAATGCCCTCCTGAATATTTCAGTTGAACCTGCCTCCATCATAGTTCTAGGCAATGCATTCCATACTTTCACTGCTCACTGTGTGAAAAGGTATTTTTCACACAATACATCCTCCTTTTGTAAATCACTTTAAATCTGTGTCCTCTGGTTCTTGATCCTTTGATGAGTGGAAACAGTTTCACCCTATCTACTACGTCAGCCCCCTCATGATTTTGAAAATGTCTAACCAGATCTCCTCGCAGCCTTCTTCTGTCCAAGGAGAATGGTGCCAATTTCTACAATCTATCCTCAAAATTGATGTTCCTCATCCCTGGATCCTTTTTTATAAGTCACTTTTGCACTCTCTCCAATATTCACATGCTTTCTATAACATGTTAATCAGCTCATCCCTCATTCTTCCAACCTCCAAGATTATAAGACCAATCTGTTCAGCTTCTCTTCATAAACTAAGCCCTTCATCACAAGATTGAGATGAGTGAATCTTCACTGAACTGCACCTAACTCAATTACATGAGTTTTAAATAAGTAACATGATAATTTGGTTAAGAATAGTCACATAAATCATGCTTGGTTGTTTCAGGATTTTCTGCTAAATCAGTTAAAGGCAAGACGAAAATTATAAATGAACAATTGGTGCCCATTTGTTTAAACGTTGCCAACTGATCCTGAGCTCTCACATCTAGATGTAAAAAAGAAAATTCTCTGCTGGCCCTCACACATCTGTTGTGATGATCAAGCAAACTTCATTTAGTTGTAGTAGGAACTTCATTTAGTTGTTCCCTGCAAAGGAGAGATTTTAGTCTTAATCATGTTACATTGCTGTCTCACCACACACCAAACTTCAGATTCAAATCTGGAGTACTTAAGAAGGGGAATGCTGTTCAATATCAACTTCTTGATTGGTGAGTGTGCAATCAGATTCAGAAACAAAACAGAACATTCAAATTAAACCATTGGAAAGAGGAATGAAGAAAAAGACACAACCAAAGCAGGGGTTTTGCCATTGACACACATCACCGAAATGAAACAGCAGATTAACCTTTCTGAGGATTCTGGGCATGGTGGTGAGTTGGGGAGAGGCAAGGATAAGAGATGGTGGGGAAGGGTGTAATATTGGGACCATGGCTTGAGTCCTGACAATGCATCACTGATCATGAAAAATACCACAAATCTTAAATTGAAGCACCAAGCCCTGAGAACGACATCCGGAGAGTGAAGTGAGAATATTTGACCTTTGTTTTAAGTAGTCCTCTCAGTGTTTGCTTCACTTGTTAGAAATTACTGATTAGCCCACTCCAAAATAGAGGAACATAGGAACAGAAGAAGGCCAAACAGTTCCTCAAGCCTGCTCTGCCATTCTAGATCATGGCTGATCATCTACGTCAAAACCATAATCCTGTGCCATCTCTAAATTCCACAATATCTTTGTTATTAGAAATCCCTCTGTCTCTTACTTGAAGACTCTCACTCTCGGAGCTTCCACAGTCTTCTGGGGTAGAGGATTCCAAAGATTCACCACCAGGTGAGTGAAGAAACTCCTTCTCATCGCAGTCCTAAATAGTTTGCCTTTCAGTCTGAGGTTGTCTTCCCTGGTTCTGGGACCCCACAGTCAAGGGAAACATCTTTTCTGCACTGACCCTGTCTAGCACTGTCAGAATTTTGTCAATCTCTATGAGATCATCTGTCCTTCTTTTCAAACCCCAAGAACATGGACCCAGCCTTCTCAATACCTCCTCACAGGATAGTCTCACCATCCTCGGAATCAGTCTGGTGAAATGCTGCTACACCCCATCTATATTCTTCCTCATACAAGGGGACCAGAACCGTTTACAGTACATAAACGTAGACAAAATTGGAGACGCTTAGTAAGGTTAAGTAGCATCTGTGAGGAGAGGAATGATATTCGACACCAACCTATCACAAACAGACTGCCTTTCTGTTTTAAGCAAGTCTGACTGGGTCAATCGGGTAAGTAAACCTGCTTTGAAGAGCCATGTTATTTAAGGATGCCAGGAACTGATTTTCTTTACAGACTTTTGTATTTAGTAGCTGTGAGTCAGACAGCCCAGGGCTTGGGAAGCCCAGCAACTGGAGGGGGAGAATGGGCAGCTGCTCACCGCTTATGGGTTAGGAACTCAGAGCAGGAGAGATTCCCTCACACTTTCCCACTTCTGGAATTGGGTGACCCACACTTATCCCCAATGGACCTACCTTCTGCATACCTTACCTACAGCACACGCCTTTGCATCCCACAGGCAGCCGTCCAAAATTCCCAAGAGTTCCCACAACGACATTTGGCAGGGCCCTCAATAGACCCCAACCCCCACCCCCGTGCTTCTGGGTGCTCCTGCATTCCATCCCCAGCTCCCTCTTTGGCTCCCCAAAATTCTGGGCAATTGGTTCAACCCCATGCGCTTTAATCAGAACTGGAAGTTAAATAACGCTTGAAGGGAACAAGGGAAGAGGATTTAAAAAAAGGAAAACAAAATGAGAGAGGTCAGTGAGAGCATTAAATGACAGAATGGTGATGGTGAAAGACAAGATGTTAGGAAATGTAGACTGCCAGGATGGAAGCTTTGCAGCACAGTGGTAATGTCACTACCTCTAGACCAGCAACTCCAGGTTCAAACCCCACGATGGGACTTGTTGGTTATGGTAGGTGCATCTATAAAGTGGCCAAATGAGTTGACTGTCAGCCTGTAAATCCTGCCAGTACACCTGATGGCAAGGGCAGGATAATCTCCTGGTCAGCCAACTGCAGATGTTAATAGCAAACCACTGTGGTAGTTTGCAAATAATAATTGTGGACACGTACAATAGAAGATTGTGATTATCTACGCCCTCTGAAGGTTTGGTGTGTGAAGAAAGGGAATATTAGGGAAGAGGACTGTGTATAAATCCTAAAGAACTAGAGCATTGCATCATGTAAGACCACCCTCTAAATTAATTAGTTTCTTCTCTCTTTGAAATTTAAAACACTAATTATAGTTACAGAACAGTATTAAGTTGGTTTAAGTGGGAAAGTGAATTGAATCTAATCCACGTGTAGCTAGAAACAAACAATCAGGAAGGTCAGCTGGTAAAAGCTGTTGATGGAACTGGACACAGAAACACGGGGTTAGAGATTACCATCTTGGATGAAGAGCTTGACAAAGCCAGAGAGCTGAGGGTCCACATTGACATTCACCAGATAGGGGAACATCTGAATCATATGTTGTTCCTAGAAGACAAATTTACAAACAAATCATAATGTTTTCTGTGACATTCCTCTGACAACAGCATTTCCCAAGCTCTCAAAATCTACAACCTTGAACAACAATCTTTTTACCTGGCCCACAAGTATTCTTCCCTCAATCCTGATCACTGCTTCTCTTCCACTCATACCTCCTCTCACTCGATAACCCTCCCTCTCACCTTCTCGCTCCAGCTTATTGCCTGTCTCCTGCTCAATGCCTCCTTCTCTTCTGATCACTGATTCCCCTCACTTGCTGCTTCTGTCTCTGATAGTCCCATAGGAAACTATTTGCTCCCCCTTGCTCATTTTGCCCTTCTCACCGGCCATCTGCCAAGCCCTCATTCAACACAAGGGGAGGATAGAAGCAAGAGAGCAGGAGGTTTGGTGAGTAGACTCCCTCCCTAACATCACAGCACTGTGGATGCACCTGAAATGCAGGAATGGGTAGTTCAACAAGGAGGCTGAACACTGTTGTAACAACCTTAGATCTGAAGCAAGAACAAAAACAAAGTTGCTGGAAAAGCTCAGTGGGGCTGGCAGCATCTGTGAAGGAAAAAAACAGAGTTAATATTTCGCGCCTGCTGGCCCAGTTCTGAGGAAGTATCACCGGATCTGAAACGTTAACTCTGTTTTTTTCCTTCATAGATAATGCCAGACCTGCTGAGCTTTTCCAGCAACTTTGTTTTTGTTCCTGATTTACAGCATCCACAGTTCTTTTAATTTTTATTTAGGTCTGAAGCAGTTTGGTAAGGAAATATATAACTTATTTAGAATACCTTGGGTTCTGTAATTGTTTTTAAGAATGTTTGAAAAGACTTTAAAGAGCTTTTGTCAATTGTAAAGGGATGAATTTTAATTTTCTTAGATAATAAAAAAGTTGGGTCATGTTACACGATTACCTCTGACTTGGAAGCAGTACAAACAGGAAGGAAGCTAACATACAAAGAATATCTGGCTGGCTGGCTCAAAGGAGAGCTGCAGGCAAAGGGTGATCAGCACACAAGAGACTTGGGGGCACCATGTGAGTGGGCTAAGATGATCAAAAGCTTGGAAGATCATGTGAATATCTTACCAGAAGTACCCAGGCTATGAACGGGGCAATTATTAGTTGGTGGGTTAAAAAGGAATTCTGGAAAGCTATACTATTATGACAGTCGTGACCCAAGGGAGAGAAGGTCGTAGAGATGTTACTTGATGACATACATATCCGTGAAATGTAGGAGAGAAAATTGATGTCAGATAGTCTCCTGACCAAAATGGATTGCAGTAGGCAGCTCACCACAAACATTTCAAGGCAAGCTAGGAATGGGCGATAAATATTGTCACAACCAGAATCTTCGACATCTCATGGGTGAATAAAAAATACTCTCAGTGTAAATAAAGAACAACATATTGTGGAACAGTGTAGCTACTGCAATCAACTTTGACAGGGAATGCATGAGGTTGTGTAAGATGTGTCTTTTGTCACATTGATCATTTAAAATGACATTTATCTTTTATTTGAAGTATCATCCGCTTTTTAATTTGTCTTTAATTTGCATTGGTCCATATTTGCGTTAAAGTAAAAACTGCAAGAAGTAAAATCTTGTTGGTAATTTCTTCATGGGGTAATTGTTTGGTAGATGGGGTTATTTTACTTTATTGTTTGCCCATGGGGATCAGAACAGCACCTTCTGAAGGACAGTTAAACGTGCATAATAAATACTGTCCTTGCCAGAGAGACTCATGGTGCACCAAAAAATAAATCAAAGCATGAATTATACAAGACAGCTGGGATAAATTGGCAACATCAAGCGCATTCTTGTGATTCACTTGTCTATTAAAAAAAAACAAAACAACTGTTGTAATGAAGACAGATGTTCTGCATTATGAATGGTTTCCTTAAGCTTGGACTGTGCTTCAGACTTTTGGCCTTTCCATACACACATTTCTTTGGTTACAAAGCTCCCTCTGCTGGAGGGATCCAGCAGCAGAAGACATTTTATTGTTACTTGAATTATTTAAATTACTGAGACTTCCTCTCTTCCAGCTTTATCCAGCTACAATTCATAACATCTTATCTTTTTACATGATAGCGTTCCTATCTGAGCCCTGGCATTAGGTTTTTGACAGACAACCATATTTCTGTTTTTTGCCTTATCTGTTCATGAAGTGTGGGAGAACCAGCATTTATTGCCCATCCCTAATTGCCCTGGAGAAGGTGGTGGTGAACGGTCTCCTGAACCATTTGGTTTAGGTAGACCCATGGTGCCATCAGGGAGGGAGCTTTATTCATTCACAGGGTGTGGATAGCATTGCCATGGCCAACACTGATTGGCAAGAAACAAAAAAGAAACTGCGAATTCTGGAAATCAGAAACCTGTTCTGAAGAAAGGCCACTGGATCCAAAACATTAACTCTGCTTTCTCTCCACAGATGCTGCTGAGTTTTCCCAGCCAATTACTGTTTATGTTCATGACTGGCAAACCCTTATTTTCTTGCCAGACCATCATAGAGCATGGTTAGAGCACCTTGCTGCGGGCCTGGAGTCACATACTGGCCAGAAGGTTTCCTTCCATGAAGTAGACCCAAGAGTTTTTTTTTACTAACAATCCGGCAGTGTAATGCTCACCCTTACCTGCACTGACTTTATAATTCCAAATGTATTCATTAACTGAAATGCAACTCCTCAGCTACCACAGTGGGACTTGAACTTGAGTCTTTGTGTCACCGGATTACTAGACCATTAATAAAACCACAATGTTTAATGCTCATCATTCATGTAGATGGGAATGCAAAATAATCAGCCTTATGAAAACTCAGTTTCTGACTAATCATATATTTTATCTTCCATATATTAAATGCATGTCGCAAAATTTAAGAAAACAAACTCAACAACTATTTAATAAGAGAAAACAGAAAATGATGGAAATACTTAATAGGCCAGGCAACATCTGTGGAAAGAGAAACACAACTCATGTTTTAGATCTGTGACCTTTGAGTTCTGATAATATGTTATTTACCTGATCTTTCTCTCTTGACACATCTTCTCTGACCTGTTGAGTGTTACCAGCATTTTCTGTTTTTATTTCAGATTTCCAGCATCTGTAGTATTTTGTTTTTGTGCTGGTAATAATCCTGACCAATTGGCAGTCCTACCTATTGTACAGTGTACACAGTTTTGCTCATTCTAACCTGTTTTAGAGTTTTGTATTTCTGTTCCCATTCTTCCTGTGCTCTCTCGAGTCGCTGCTCCCAAGAGGTCCGAATCTCTGCCATCTGCCGTTCGTTCTCAGCCAATGAACTTCGTAACTTTTCTAATGAAAAAACGGCAGTGTGATTTTACAATAAAAGTTTTGAAATGTTAGATAGAAGAATGAGGTGCTGGCAAAGGAGCTGCAACATTAGGATTTGGCTGCAAGGTTGGAAGGGGGATGCCCTTAGGAACAGTGGTTATTACCACTTTCTGTGTAACAAAGTTCTTCCTCACATTTACCCAACACTCCCACGCACAGTCCCCACCAGTAAACCCTGTCTTCAGCATTTGTAAGATTTTCAAGCCAGTGCATCAGAGTGCAGTTTAAACAAATTTAAAAATTAAAGCTTTTAAAATGCTGCTAGACCAAGCACGGACACATACTCGTTTCTTCCTCTACCCTTAATCCAGCTTGTGATTTCAAATAAACCTGTTGGACTATAACCTGGTGCTTTGTGACTTCTGACTTCAATAAACATACCATCAGTACTAAACGACGCAAACCAGGAAGGAATATAACTGTGTAGGGGTTGCATTACAATAATCCAAAGGCCTGGACTAATAATCTCAGAGAACACAAGTTCAAATCCCACCATCACAGTTTAAAAATCTGAAAAATTAAGTTAAAGGCTGGAATGCGGAAAGGTTGCCATGAAGCAGTTGGATTGGTGTGTAAATTTATCTGGTGCATTATCCCATAACAGAAGAAATCCTGTTGAATCTACCCAGTCTGGCTCAAATGAGACTCCAGTTTCATATTGATTCTAAACCTCTGCCTGAAGTAGCCTAGAAAGCCACTCAGTTTAAGAATGGGGAATAAATATTATCATTGCCAGCAAACAGTGTGCATTAAATAAAAAGCAAGGTGCCTGAGTTCATTTTCTGGACTAATTCAACTCCATTTGTTTCAGTTGTAGAAAGTGGAAACAGAGATAGAGATTTAACTCTAATCCTAGAAATAGAGTTTTATGTTTGAATGGATACATACAGACCTATGGTCATTAAAATGCAGAACAATAATGTCTTTCATTAAGTTAAAGCATTGGCTTTAACTGTGGTCCTAATAAGTATCCCCAGTCTTGTACACTCTATTTCTATTCTACCCCATTTCTGACTCACCCAGAAAGACTGAATAGGCTGGGGATCTTTTCCTCTGGAATAAAGTCTGTCAAAATTATGAAGGGGATTGATAGGATGTACAAAATACCTTTCCATTTGTTGGGACAAGTCCAAAATGGGGCCATAATAAAATCGTTATTGATAATTCCAACTGGAATTTCAAGAGGAATTTATTTATTGAGAGAGGAGATAGAGTGTGGAAATCATAACTACAATGAGCAGTTGAGACAAGTCACATATGGGGAGCTGAATGCATACATGAGAGAAAAACATTGAAAATAGGAGCAGGTTTAGGGCGTTCAGCCCTTCAAACCCGCTCCTCCATTCAATATGATCATGGCTGATCATCCAACTCAGTCCCCTGTTCCTACTTTCTCCCCCATTCCCTTTGATCCTTTTAGCCCTTAGAACTACATTTATCTTCTTCTTGAAAACATTCAATGTTTTGGCCTCAACCACTTTTTACGGCAGAGAATTCCACAGGCTCCCCACTGTCTGGGTGAAGAAATTTCTCCTCATCTAAATGGACTATCCTATATCCTGAGATTGTCAGCCCTAGTCTGGACTCCCCGATCATTGGGAAACATCGTTTCTGTGTTTACCCTGTCTAATCCTGTTAGAATTTTATTGGTTTCCATGAGAGTCACTCCTCATTCTTCTAAACCCCAGCGAATATAGCCCTAATCAATCTAGACTCTGGAAAGAAAATTTAGGTAGGGCTAGATCACGGTAGTTGTTGGTATGTAAGTTGATGTTGGTATCAATGTGAACTGTCAAATGGATTCGCCAGGTCACTGTCTTTGTGGTGTCAGCTCTGAGTAGTTTTGTCATAAACCCCAGGCATCTTTGCAGCACACTGCCCTTAATGTTGAGATAAATGTTTATAAAGGTATATATTTTACCTTCAACACATTTATTTCTTCTTACATAATGTGTTTCTTCTACAATTAACAGATGAAAAACATTGTAACTGCTGAATAATTAGTAAATGAATCTCTCTTGATTCTGGTAGTTTGATGATAATATAACATTTGTTTCTAGTGCTGAATGTCTCAATTAAAATGGATAGGGATTCCAGCTAGCACAACACCTGGATACATTTGGAAAAGAAAGATAAGTTGATGTATTTCGCTCCTCCACCACCACTCCACTGCCATCCATTCTTGATCACTTGGCTAATCCACATAGCCTGCACATCTTTGGACTGTGGGAAGAAACCAGAGCACCCAGATGTAGGAAGAATGTACAAACTCTACACAGACAGGTGCCCAAGGCTGAAATCAAACCTATGTCCCTGGTGCTGTGAGGCAGCAGTGCTAACCACTGAGCCATCGTGTTGCCCCATAAAGAATGGGCAAAGTATTAGGAGGTTCCTATGAACAGTGGAACTTTACCAAAATGCAAATCAGGATCTTGTTTTGAGGAAGAAACAAAATTGCTAACATCAGCCATATTACAGGTCCTTTCAATTGAAGAAATGTGTTAAATAATCTGCATTACTGAACTAAAACAAAACCATAGGCACAGTTTCCCCATTATTACTTTAATTCAGTGAAGTGTTATTGAATGCATTCTATTTACTCCTATTGCCACTTAAATTTCAAACAACATGGCCATTTCATTATTACTCCACATATTTAGCAGAAACTTCATTGCACCGAGTACAATTTTCACTGGAACTGTTTATCTGATGACCATCTCTGCTGCCTCGTCTTTAAAATGTCTTATTTTTTTTCCATGATCTTACACAGAAAGACAAGGTGAGGAACAACATTGGTTCCATGGGGAGATATTCAACAGAGATGGATAAGAATGCCGACTATGACTGTCTCTGATGGTATTTACTCCTCCAAGACAGAAATTATTATTTTTTGAAGTAGAGAAGTTTAAATTGGAGGCTTAAATTTGCACAACATCAGCTTGCTCCATCATTCTAGATGCATTTTAAGTTTGCTTTCAGAGCTCACCCACCTGATGACATTGCCCAATGTCGTTAAGCTGAGATTGATAGCAGTTCCCTCTCTCAGCCGGTCTCCCTCAGAACCAGAAGACCTCTGCCTCTCGCTGCCAGCCGAATCTACCACATTGATGTCAGACTGTTTTGTGAGGTGGTCTTTTAAAAATACCTGTGTGAAAGAACATCAGCAAAAGAAGTGATTTGTGTTCTACCGTCTCCAGATTAACTAAGTACCATCGACCACTTTTTCTGAATAAGACAGGATAGTGAAGAAGGCTTGCCTTTATTGGTCATGCATTGAGTACAGGGGTTCAGAGGTCATGTTGCAGCTGTACAGGACATTGGTTAGGCCACTTTTAGCATACTGAATGCAATTCTGCTCTCTCTGCTGTAGGAAGGATGTTGTGAAACTTGAAAGGGTTCGGAAAAGATTTACACAGATGTTGACAGGATTGGAGGGTTTGAGCTACAGGGAGAGGCTGAATACGCTGGGGCTGTTTTCCCTGGAGCGTCAGAGGCTGAGAGGTAACTTACAGAGGTTAATAAAATTATGAGGGGCATGAATAGGGTAAATATACAAGGTCTTTGCTCCAGGGTAGGGGAGTCCAAAAGTAGATGGCATAGGTTTAAGGTGAGAGGGGAAAGATTTAAATGGGACCAAAGGGGCAACTTTTTCACACAGAGGGTGGTGCTTGTATGGAATGGACTGCCAGACGATGTGGTGGAGGCTGGTACAATTAAAACATTTAAAAGGCAGCTGGATGGGTATATAAATACGAAGAGTTTAGACGGATATAGGCCAAATGCTGGCAAATGGGACTTGATTTATTTAGGATATCTGGTCGTCATGGACGAGTTGGACCGAAAGGTCTGTTCCCATGCTGTACATCTCTGTGATTCTATGACTCTAACTGGCATTGTTCTCCTTGATATGAATTTCAGTAAATGGGGGCAATAATGTGTTTATATATTTGGTGATGAACTTCTCATCCTACTGTTGCTATTTCAAAACCAACTAAAAATGTTTGGCAATGATTTAGAATACAACAGCGAGAGAATCTATGAAATTGATCAACATTATAATCGTAATGTACTGTTGGACAAAAACTCCCCTACTCAGATGGTAATGTCCAATTTCTGTCTAGCAGGGGTTGTCAACACCTTTGACCATTCCAATATTCTTCACATTGGCCTCCTTTCTTGCACCATCTCGAAAACTGAGGTCATCTAAAACTCTGCTCCTTACATCCTAGCTCCCACCAAGTCCTGCTTGTGCATGTGCCTGTGCTAACTCCAGGTTAAGCTACACATCACTTTTAAAACTATCATCCTGTTCTCATATCCCTACAGAGAGCTTCAGCTCTCCTCTAATTTCCTAACATCCTCTTGCCTTCCACAGCCTCTGCACTACTCCAATTCTTTCCTTTTGCATGTCCTGGATTTTAGTTGTGTCACTATTGATGACTATGCCTTCAGCTGTTTAGCCCATGAGCCTCCCTGTCTCTTTTTCTCTATCTCCATCCCACATATTTTACTGATCCAATTCTCTAATCTGTCCATAAAGCCAATTTCTTACATTCCAGGTATCATTCCAGTAAATCTCCTCTACACCCTTGCCAAGGAATTGACATCCTTCCTGTACTCCAAGTTCCCAAAATTGGCCATGGTCATAGAATATCACAGCAGGGGAGATCATTTGGCCTATTGTGTTTGTGTTGGCTCTTTGAAAGAGTTATCCATTCAGCCTATTCCTCTGCTCGTCATCAATGGGTCTGTAATAGTTTCCAATTCAGCCTGAGCAGACACACAACGATCTTTGCTCTTGTCACATGTGATCCTGTGCCCAGCTAAATGTCTATCCAGCTGCCCCTTGGATTTGGAAGCGTGCTGCCCTTCCGCAGCTTGTTCTACATCCCATACTCTTGAGTGAATTAATTGAAAACTTACCTCAATAATTTCTTGTTTGTAAGAACTACCATTTTCAAATCACTCCAGTTTGTTCCATCACACCCTTTTTGAAGACACTGGTCCTCTCTCACTGGGATAAGGGCACAGATCCAACTACACATCTGCTGATTTGCTCAAGTGACATATCAGACATCTGTTACTTTAAAAGCAAGTCCCAACATGCAAACTGTTTGATGCAAACATCAATCAATGTTTTAGCACAATATCCTTATATTTGTACTGTGTTTATAACAATCCTGTATCTTTAAAATAACCCATTTTAAACTTCCATCATTTTATTGATATTGTCTTTTCTCATTCTCCCTATGAAAATGAACCACCTCGAACTTCTCTGTATTAAATATTACCTGCCATCTGTCTGGCTATTTTACTAGTTAATGTCCTCCTAAAGTTTGTTACTTTCTTCCTCACTATTTATTAGGTTTCTGAGTTCTCTGTTGTTTGCAGTCTAGAAATTATGTGCTGTACGTTCAAGTCCAGGTCGTCAATGTAATAGTAAACTTTGTTGAAGTTAGTTAAACCAGTCATGGTTAATAACAAACAAAACTGTCTGAACTGGTGTCACCACACTGGCTACTGTTGACCATTACCTGTTTGAATCGAATGGTGATGATCATGTGTGAACGACTGCTGATCGTGTTGATGTTGGTGGACCCTGTGATTCTCTTTGTATTGCCTTCCTTCAGCAACTGTTGGACCTGCTCATAGCTTTCACAAGGCACCAACATTTGATCTTCCACATAGCCCCCCACAGGGGCTTCTTTCTCGCACTTTTAGACCTCCAGGCTGTTTGCTCTTGGCTAACAAGTCTACCACCTGGGAAGCAGATTGGTTTTAGATGCAGTAAAAATGTGTCTTTTATTTGACCCTTAGACAATTGGCAACACAAAATATCAGATTGAAATGAATCCCAATATTACAGTAACAAATCTGCACAATTGTTAACAATTCCCAAGTAAGTTTTGCCATTTAAATAGAAATAATAATGTTGAAGTAATTCACTGTTTTAAAAAATTGCAAACTCATCATCTGTGATTGATTGGCATTATCAAACCTGCTTGTCTATCAAGGTCCTTTGTCCTGTTTAGTTGATCTTGACTCTTTCCCATCACTATAAAGCTCCTGCCTTTTTGACCTTGCCACTCGCCAGAGGTATGATGACCCTCAGGTTAAATTCATGACCAGTCATCTCTCTCTAATGAAAGAACAGCTTATAATCCTCTGGGACTATGGCAACTACTATCCTTTCCTGCCTATTCTAAGTATTTTTGTCACTTATTTTGACTTAACACTTTCTACTTCCATTCCTTTTTGCCTTGTATCCTCATCCTTGTGCTTTTCTTCTATTTTAGTGTTAAGAGCAATATTTATTGAAAACAAAACTTTCCATTGGTTATAAAGTATGTTTAAAAGATGGGTTTTCATCTAATGCAAAGCTTGGCTCGTGAAGATTTATCTGATCACAGCAATGAGTTGCTCAGTCTTCACTGTTTCTATATGAGCATTTCCAGGTCCTAAAGGTAACACCAAACACTGTGTGGAGCTGAAGGAACACAGCAGGCCAGGCAGCATCAGAAGAGCAGGAAAGTTGATGTTTCAGGTCGGGACCCTTCTTCAGAAATGGGGAGGGGGAAGGGAGCTCCGAAATAAATAGAGAGGAGGGGCGGGGCTGGGGAAGGTAGGCGGGATGGTGATAGGTGAGTGCAGTAGGAAGTAGTGGGGATTGGTCAGTGACGTGGGAGGAGCAGATAGGTGGGAGAGAAGATGGACAGGTTGTGTCAGGTCAGGGAGGCGGGAATGAGAGAGAAGGTTGATCGTGGGATGAGGCCGGGGGTGGGGAGATATTAAAACTGGTAAAATCCATGTTTAGGCTATTGGACTGTAGGCTCCCAAGGTGGAATATGAGGTGCTGCTCCTCCAGTTTGCGGGTGGCAACATTGTGACACTGGAGGAGGCCCAGGATGGACACGTCACCCAGGGAGTTGGGGGTGGGTGGGTGGGAGCTGAAATGGTCTGTGACTGGAAGGTGTTGTCATTTGGCATGAACCAAGCGCAGCTGCTCTACAAAACGGCCTCTGAGCCTCCACTTGGTCTCACCGATGTGGAGGAGGCCACATCGGGAACAGCAGATGCAGTAGACCATGTTGTCGGATGTGCAGGTGAACCCCTGTCTGATGTGGAAGGTTTGTTTGGTGCCTTGAATGGAGATGAGGGGGGAGGTGTAGGGGCAGGTGTAGCACTTCCTGCGTTTGCAGGGAAAGGAACCGCAGGAAGTGCTACAACCCTCCACCTCCTTGACCTAACAAAACTTGTCCATCTTCTCTCCCACCTATCTGCTTCTCCCACCTCACTGACCAATCTCCACCACTGCCTACCTGCACTCACCCATCACCATCCCACCTACCTTCCCCCGCCTCACCCCTCCTCTCTCTATTTATTTGAGCTCCTAGCCCCCTCCCTATTTCTGAAGAAGGGTCCTGACCTGAAACATCAACTTTCCTGCTCCTCTGACGCTGCCTGACCTGCTGTGTTCATCCAGCTCCACACTGTGTTATCTCTGACTTCAGCATCTGCAGTTCTTACTATCTCTGAATACTAAACAGTGATGGATGAGGACCATAAACCCCTTTTAATAAACTAGCTGGAGTACTTGCTGAAAAATTATAATTAAATAACTCATACCCTTGCATTATAAGTACATCTCAACATATTTTATCAATTTCAGTAAAGTTAATGAGACATAATTTTATATTAGTTAATAAAATGTTCACTTACACAAGAAAAAGATTGGTTTTCAAAAACAATGGAAAGACCTTCAACCTAATCCCTTAGAAGAAACTTTTCTGTTATACCAGTGCATTACTGACTTAAAGTGTACATTCATACTATTGGTCTGAGAGTGAACAATATTTCATATATATCCCAGTAAGGAGGAAAAATAACCTTTCATTGTAGATTTCCAACAAGCTGAAATAAATCTGAAAAAGAAAAGAAATTGAGTTGTATCTTTAATTCCAAGTTACATTCAATAAGATCACCCTACATTCATAACATTGAGAGACTGTGGAACATCACTGCACTGGTCATCCAGAAGTCCAGGATAATACTTTAAGGAAAACTGAAAGAACTATGGATGCTGTAAATTAGAAACAAAAACAGAAGTTGCTGGTAAAGCTCAGCAGATCTGGTAGCATCTGTGAAGAGAAATCAGAGTTAATGTTTTGGGTTGGGTGACTCTTCCTCAAGGGTCACCCGACACAAAACATTAACTCAGATTTCTTTTCACAGACGCTGCCAGACCTGCTGAGCTTTACTAGCAACTTCTGTTTTTGTTAATGCTTTTAAGGACATGGGTTCACCACACCAAATGCTGGATTGAAACAAATTGAAACTGCAGGAATGGATACCAAGTCAACTATCGGCAATTGCTGTAAAAACCCATTTGGTTCACTTTATGGAATGAAATCAGCCATTCTGAAAACAGGTCTGGCCTACATGTGACTCCAGACTCCAAAGCAATGTGGTTGACTCTGAACTACCCTCTGAAATGACCTGAATAGCCATTCAGATCAAGGGCAATTAAGGATGAGCAATAAATGCTGGCCTAGCGTTAGGTGCACTCTTTCCATGAAAGGGTAAATTAAAAATAAAGACATCTCTGCCTTATATCATTCGTTGTCAGCAATCATTACATACTCCAGGCTGATTGTCATTTCAGTGTCGACCACCATTCAATTAGGAACCATACACTACCATCAAAACGAGAGGTAATCAAAGGCTCGATCATAACTCAAGCCAATTATAATCAGAAAACCAATTTGGAGATTTGGATTCCCTCAGGAATTATGAGAACAAAGCATAAACAAGGAATGAAAGATCACTGAAACCCAACACTGAATTATTACTCTAATTTTATTCAGAAATATTCAAGCAACTATGAAGTTTTCTCTTGAATGAGTTTCCTGGTGCTCATGGTGTAGTTTAATTGAGATGTTACATGATACTATGTATGTGTGAAAAAAAGTGCTATGAATTTATCAACAAGCACCTAAACGCACATTTGGATTATTAACTGCCAAGTTATTTAATCATTGGATAGAGTATAGTCAATACACTACTCACTGTTGTTGGGCCAGATTGAACAAGGAACTGCATAATATAATCTGATCAGATCTTACTACAGTTGCATGTGGTCAGCTGGAGGATACACTCTGTCTTCTACCTGTCATATCACAGGAACTAAAAGTTTTCAATAATCTCTTTCTCCTGTGTTCCACCCCAATATAGATTATTTTTATCTGTGTGCATGCTGTTCTACTGTCCCTGCAGTATCCCTTCTTGATGTCATCCTCTCTGCCATGTTGTTATCGTTTCCCTTAGTCCTTTCCCATTGCTGCAACCATCATGTTGTCCTCATCTTTCTCACCCTTCAATTGCATTACGCGTATCTTCAAGTAAAACTCTGTCACTCAGATCATTTCATAATGTTTTAAAACTTCTTTTAAAATATTACATTTTTGATCTTTCAAAGATTCTTAATTCACAGTAACTCCTTCTCTAGTTCTGGGTGTTTTCATTTTATTTCTTCATTGGTTGTCCCTCAGGTTTGAGGATTTGCTTCCACTCTGGGGGCGTGTGGGGAGAGAGGGAAGGGTTGTATTCTGCAGGGGCTGAATGGTCCAATCCTGAAGCAGCAGACTCTGCCACATGTGAGGAGATGGTGTTTGCTGAAGCAATAGGGTTAGGATCAGGGACACTCTGGACTCTGTGCACTCTTTCTGCTACCTATCCCCATTACCCCACATTTCCCATGGTTACTCCACCCAGCCTACATATCCCTGGACACTATGGGGAATTTATTGTGAGCAATCCACCTAACCCGTACATTTTTGGACTGTGGGAGGAAACCAGAGCACCCAGCAGACATGGCGAGAAGGTGCAAACTCCACACAGACCTCCACCAGAGGCTGGAATCAAAGCAAGATTCCTGGCATTGTGAGGCAGTAATGCTAACCACTGAACCACAGTGCCTCACCAGGCAGAGCTGTTGACAGAGCCAAAGGCTTTTGTGAGATTGGAGAAGGCCACATACAGAAGCAAACGTCTTGTTAAAACTAAGTTAATTTTGTATGTCTTCTTTCACTTTCTCTCTTTGTTTGGGATTTCTACAAATTTATTCACTTAACCCATTGTAAATTCAATCCTGCAAGGCCCTGATTTTTATTTAACCCATTAATCTGGGGAAACCTTGTTTCCTGAGACCAAAGACTGTTGTCATTTATTCAGTTAACTGAAGTGATGTTTATTAGTTTAATGTGAGATAAACTCTTTGATTTTAACACAAGCCCGTTAATTTAGTGAATTATCCTGGACAATGCAATTGATTGTATTCAATTAACTTACAGAATGTCTATTTTCAGGCTGAAGTCTAAATTTACTTCAATTAATTTGGGGGCAGCCTCTATTTGAGCGTTGTTAATTTTGGTACTACCCAAAAGTTATAATTGAATCAATTAACTTTTGAAAATGTGCTTTCCGCTTCCTCCCAGTCTTTCTTTGGTTCTCCCGAGCCTGTTCTGTCTTCATTAGCTCCACAGTTCCTCCTCTACAGCCCCAATCATTACCCACCTCCACATCTTGCTTTTTTTCAACTTTTTCACTTACTTCTTCCATTTGAGCTATTACTTGTTTTTAGTATGCGGACGTCATTAGTATGGCCAGTTCATATAGGCCATATATTGCTTCTACTCAGAAGGTGGAATGGGGGACTATTTTCTTGAACCCTAATAATGATTTGTTACAGTTTCAGACTTGGTCACTCAACATTCCTCAGTGGTCACATGTGTCTACAATAACCTTCGAGTCCCTGTCCCTCCACAGCTCTCCACAGATTCTGCATCCTCTGGTCCTCCATATCAATTGCACCATCGAATCCTACTCTCCACATATACTGATAGCTATTTTGTACTATTGAACTTGAATAATGCTTAAAAAAAGGACACATTTTGTTGAAGCTTTCATTCTGCAATCATCAGACCAGGAATTACTCTAAAAACCAATGTAAGATTATCACTCGGGCTTGCTATGTGATGTTCTGGAACATATGTTTCGTGAGTGTCACAGTGGCTCAGTGGTTAGCACTGCTGCTGCACAGCACCAGGGACCCAGGCTTGATTCCACCCTCCAGTGACTGTCTGTGTGGAGATTGCACATTGTCTTCGTGGATTTCCTCTGGGTGCTCTGGCTTCCTCCCACAGTCCGAAGATGTGTAGGGTAGGTGGATTGGCCATGCTAAATTGCCCATAGTGTCCAGGGATGTTTAGATTAAGTGTTTTAGACATGGGAGATGCAGGGGTAGGGGAATGAGTCTGGGTGGGATGCTCATCTGCAGAGGGGTGGTGTGGACTTTTTGGGTCAAATGGCCTGTTTCCACACTGTAGGGACTCTATGATTCTCTACATTATTATACAAATTGAAAGAGCACAAGCAAATGGTGCACTTGTTCCAACTCAATGAAACAGGTGACACTCATTCCTGGGTTTATTTCTTAGGGCAATGTCTTGACCAATCAGAGTCAACCTTCCTGGTTTAAATTTAAACAAAGGTTTGCAGTAAACTGTCAATCATAATCTAACTGGTTCATTTTCCATGACAATACTTCTAGCAATCAGAATTCACTTGCCAACCAATCAGCAATCTACTCTCATACAAATAAAAAGATTGCGTTCCCTTTATATTGGCAATTCTTGAGAACTGACCTAATGAATGCAAGTTGAAAGATTTTGACAAAATCTGTCTTTTCTCAGCAATACATATTTATTTGAACCCATGTCCCACCTTCTGCAAATGGACTAAGAAGGAGACAAACAATCTGGTGTATAGTAATTTATTTCTTAAAATGCATTTAAAACAATATTTATCAGTCTCAGAGTTAACAAGCTGCATCAGTAGCAGAGAATGGTCCACTGTTAACAACCTAAACACTACATAAATACAACAATAAAATCTGACCTGATTCTGTTGGGAGGAGTATTGATTTCTGGAACAATTACTTATCTATCCCAATGTGTGAAACTACTTGTGCGACCTTAATACTTCGCTTTTCTTCCTAGAATTCTAACCCCATGTTATTACTCCTTTTTTATCTAATCATCATTTCTTGGTCAATAGCCTATAATGCGGAATTGATAGCTATGTGACTTATTCTAAAGGCAGTCATCATAAGAACGTAAGAAATAGCAGCAGGTGTTGGACCTTCAGACTCTTGTGCCTGCTCCAACATTCAATGCAATCATGACTGATCCAATTATGGGCTTACCATCACCTTCCTGTCCATCCCCTTTAACTCATGACTCCCTTATCAATCAAAAATCTGTTTAATTTGGCTTTGAATATATTCAATGATCCAACCTCTACTATTCTTAAGGGAAGAGAATTCCAAAGACTAATAATCCTCTGAGACAAGAAATTCCTCTTCATCTATGTCCCAATTCAGAGACCAGGACCCTTAGTTTTAAAGTGGACCCCCTAATGTTAGATCCCCTCATGACAGGAAACACCTCTCAGCATCAACCCTGTCAATCCCATTCATGTTTCGAGAAGACCACATTTCATTTTTTAATCTCCATTGAGTATGGGACATAGTCTGAGAATTAGGTCCAAACCATTCAGGAACAATGTTAGGAAGAATATCTAGGTTTGGAACTTTTTTTCATAAATGGCAATAGATGATGGACCAGTTGTTCATTCTAATCTGAGATAGAATCAAAGAGATGTACAGCACGAAAATAGACCCTTTGGTCTAACTCATCCATGCCTACCAGATATCCTAAATTAATCTAGTCCCAGTTGCCAGCATTTGGCCCATATCCCTCTAAACCTTCCTATTCATATACCTATCCAGATGCTGAATAAATGTTGCAATTGTACCAGCCTCCACCACTTCCTCTGGCAGCTCATTCCATACATGCACCACCCTCTACATGAAAAAGTTGCACCGTAGGTCCCTTTTAAATTCTTCCCCTCTCACCTTAAACCTATGCCCTCTAGTTTTGGACTCCCCTACACTGGGGAAAGTAGATTTTCTTTTGGTTAAGTAGATGTATTAAGGGATATGGACTAAAAATAGGCATATGGATTTAGGCCACAGATCAGCCATGATTTCATTGAATGGTGGAACAAGCTCAATAGGCTGAATGATCTTCTCCTGTTCCTATCAGTATTGGCTCAATTCCTGCTTGGCCTTTCCTCTTCAGATAAACCCTTCCATCCCAATGCTGCTTGAAATATATAATGATTGGCTCTGAACCTCCAGCTGGGTTTCTTCTGCTATTTGTTTGAAATGGTTAATGATTAACGAAGTGGTTAAAGTCAATTTCTAAAGTGTACTGGCAATATTTAATAATCTGTATCTGTGCAATATTTGAATATTGAGATGTTTTAGGCTTTAGCTTATGCTTGATCAATTTTGATCAACACTCCCTCACCCATTACACACCAATACCTCCTCCCAGTCTACACAGTGCCTGGTCATCACCTCAAAGGTATTACTTTTCACCAAATACCCATTAATCCCAATTCACAGTAAACCCCAATGTCCATTACCGACCTTCAAACTCATTATCTCTTTAATAGCTAATCCTTACCTGGTACTGTTTATTAAGTTCTTGATTTTGATTAATTGTTTTGAACAACTCGTCACAAGTCAATGGGATTATCCCTTTATTTGGACCATAACCAATCATAGTGTAGCTCTTTCCTGAGCCCATCTGACCATAGGCTAATAGAGCGGCGTTGTATCCCTTCGATGCGTTATTCAGCATTTCTTGGCCAAGATCATCAAACACTCTTCTCTAAGAAAACAAATTTTAAACAAAATTCAACGTCTTTCTGTCCTTTCCATTTCACTCATCAGGACAGATGCAAGAATGCCAAATCTCAAGCAGAACAACACATGTTACTGCATGAGAATCAGGGTTGTTTGGTTGGAAACTAGACTCTGAATCTCTAATGATGGCACAGTGGTTAACACTGCTGTCTCACAGTGCCAGGGCCTTGGGCTTGATTCGAACCATGGGAGACTGTCTGTGTGGAGTTTGCATTGTTGTACCTGTGTCTGTGTGGGTTTCCGCCAGGTGCTCTGGTTTCCTCCCACAGTCCAAATATGTGCCAGTTAGGTAGATTGGGAAATGTGGGACTACAGGGATAGGGTGGAAGTTGGGATGTTCTTTGGAGAGTCAGTGCAGACTCAGTGGGCCTCTGTCTGCACTGTAGGGCTGCTATGATTGATTGAGGCATTGCCATGAAGAATGCACCAAAACTTTATCCAAATTTTTTGTTAATTGTAAAGGTACTTTGTTTAACACTTCTTGGTTAATATCATCAAACGGTCTTCTCGAGAAAGCACATTGTAAACAAAATTCAGCATTTTATTCTAACCATATGTATGTTGTGATATGATTTCTGGGATTTATACATATAATTTTTAATGTCATTTGTGATGAGTTTGGGTTTCTGTTTTTTGGGTTAGTAACTTGTGGGTTTTTTGTATTTCTGAAGTTAATAATAACTTGCAAGTTTTTTTGTAGCCATGGTGATCTCTTTTAAGAACAGCTTTGAGGCCTGACTTTAGAGTGAATGCACTTTGTGTGACATTAACTTTTCCCTAGTGCATTCTCCATGGATGTACCTCCACTAATCAGAGTCTAGTTACTAACCAATCAGAACCCTGATGCTCTTGCAGTACAAGTTGTTATTCCCTTTGGGATTTGGCATTCTTGCATTTATCCTAATGAGTACAAGGTAAAAAAAATGTTTTAATAGCATGTCCCTTTCCTTCAACAATATTTAAGTTTTGAAATTTTAGTTTAATCTAGTCTACAAGTCTAATCCATGAAACCTATTCTCACAAATTAGTCCTTTTAAGCCCTGCTATCATTCTGGTGAAACTGTATTGTACCCAATATCGCTGCTGCTCAGAATTGACTGCAGGATTCCAGGCAGGGTCAAATCAGATCTGTGTATAGCTGTAAACTAGTTTCCATTCTTTAGATTCCAGACTCCCTGAGACAAAAATTGACTTTCAATTTGTATTTTAAATTATTTTTATAATTGTCCAAAATGTTTTAATGATTCTGTGCTTGAATCTGTAAACCTCTCTGCTCATCTGTAATTCCCAGCCTATTACCATTTAGAAAATGCTCTTGATGCATAAAAGATCAAATATAAATTAGGATAACATTTTGAACAAATGAAAATTTCAAAGTGTAGCTTTGTGGCATTCCACATAAACAGAACCATTCTCATACAGTAACCCCAGCATTAGCCTATGATGACTTATTTAGCCTGATTTTTAAAAATTCTCTTGTTGGTGGTGGTACATTGACTGGGAACAATACAGAAGAGAGGAGAGGGATATAATCTGAAAGAGACATATGTATCCCTACAAAAATTAAACCTTGTGCAACAAAGATAATAGTTAAAGGGGCAGTCTTTCATACAATTGCTGTAATTTTGGGATTTACAGATTCCCAGGAAAGAATCACACTTTATTAGATTACTGTACTTCATATTTCAATTATATTTCTGTGTCCTTTTCTAATAATCAAAATAAAATAAAAGAAAAATGGTCATTCGGTTAAGCACATTAATTTGAAGAGATAACAAGGTGTAGAGCTGAATGAACACAGCAGGCCAAGCAGCATCAGAGGAGCAGGAAAGCTGAAGTTTCAGGTCTAGACCCTTCTGCAGAAATGGTTCTTCAGAAATTTGAAGAGATGTATTTTAACAGATAATAGGTACAGCAACAACTCACTGCAGTAGTTCAGGAAGTCACCTTGCCTCCACCTTCCCCAGTGGAATTAGGGGTGGTCAATAAATGCCAGCCTAACTAGGAATATCCATGTCCCATGAAAGAAAAAATTTTTTTATAAAGTTCTACACATTAATCTACTCTTGAAACTATTGTGATAAAATTTCACAATGAATGTGGAAGGAAATATCATCACTTGAAATGAATGTTTCTGGAGCTCCTATGCATGAGCTGTGGAATAGTTCCTGAAGCCATGCAAAACTCCTGCAATGCAGAACTGAAGAAGCTGTCCAGATCCTGTGCTCTTAATAAAGTCAACGTTGTTCTGTATAATAAAGGTCTGCTCCTTTTGGATAGCTGTGTTATCATTTTACCTGGTCTGCATATTTGCTCGTAGATCCATCTGAAGTAAGAATTCCTTCCTTGTTTTTAATAAATCCACTGTGTGACCAGTAGGACAGGTCAAATAAAAAGGTTTTTGTGTTGTTCCGATTTCTGGGATCACAAACTGTGATGCTGTTTAAAACCATGGAAATAATGCAACGGCTTCCTGCATCTTTCTCCATCTGTTGAGATGTATGAGGGTGACACATTGTTAAAAAAATCGAGCAGTCAGATAGAAATTAATATAGAAATATTTGCAACAGTGCATGAGGAACATCCTGGATTACAGATTATCCTCAAGATAGGGACAGTGAAAGTTCCAGTCAATCCTCAATAACTGGCAAACGTCTTGACACACTGTTCCAGTGAATTGGATTCCCTGGTCCGAGCAAATGCTGGTGGGTAGCCCCCATCGGGGTATGTGGTCCTTACATAGTACTTTGTCTGCGTGATTGGCTGTGGCCTTTCTTGCGGGAACAGCTTCTACCCATCTGGAAAACTTGTCCACAATTACAAGGACATCTGAGTAACCTTGACAGCGTGGGAGCAGGAAATAACCAACTTGCAAGTGTCAGAATGGCCTTGGAGGCACCAGTGCTTTCAGTTGCGGATGGCACTTAATGTCACTGGATGACACTTAATGTCTTAATGTCACTAGTGTAGATCCCCATGTGCCATTACACTGAGTGTAGGCTGTGACTATTGACAGGAGTTGTGGTAATGGAGAGCATCATGGAAGATGCTAAACACAGGAGCCTAAAACACATGGTGGTAAAATAAAGCACATTAAAACAAGAAAACTGGAAAAAAATTAAGAGCATGCTCACTGGATTAATAGAAACTACATATAAACATAGTGCTGCCCCTAATTTGCAATTGTCCCCTTGTTTAACCTCTCCAAAAACGGGAACATCCTCTCAGCATCCACCTTATCAAGTCCCTTCAGGTGCTTATATGTTTCAGTAAGATCATCACTCACTCCAATGTGTACAGGCCCAGCCTGTCCAACTTTTCACCAAAAGATATCCCCTTTCTTGACAAGATGACCCTTGCTCCCAGGTATCAGAAGAATAAACCTTCTCTGAATTGCTTTTAACCTATTTACATCCTTCTTAAACAAGGAGACCAAAACTGTACACAGTGCTCCAGATGAGGCCTTAACAATGCTCCATACCACCGCAGCAAAGCATCTGTACTTTCATTTTCCATTTCCCTTGTAATAAAAAACAACATTCCATTTGCCTTCCTAATCCCCTTTGCATCTGCAGCCTAACTGTCATGAATCATGCACAAGGGTGCCCAGATCCCCCTGTGCATCAGAGTTTTGTAACCTCTCTCCATCCGAATAATGTGCTGCTTTTCTATTTGTCCTGCGAAAATAAACAAGTTCACATTTAACCAGATTATACTCCAGCTAGCAAATTGTTGCCCACTCATTTAACCTATCTACATCCTTTTGTAGACTTATTATGTTTTGTTCACCACTTACTTTCCTACCTATCTTTGTGTCATGAGCAAATTTAAAACTGATTTCCAAGAAATTTATATAGATTGTCAACAATTGAGAGCTCAATACTGATCCCTTTTGGACATCATTCATCAAATTCTAAGGGTGGAGAAATAATTTAAATTTACACAAAATTTTATTGCAACAAATGGAAAGAGTTTGTCTTTATATATTGCCTTTCACGAGCTCAGGTCAACCCAAGTTTTTTTATAGCCAAGGAAACAATCTTAAAGTGTAATCACTATTATAACATGGGAAACATGGTGGCTATTTTGTACACTGCAAGGTTCCAAAGACTGAAATGTGGTGATTGCCAGACAATCTGTTTCTTATAATAAATACATAAAGTATTGTAGAAACAGAGTTAGCTTTCTAAGCCCAATGATTCTGCTTCAGAACTGAAAGGAACTGGGAAATAATGTTGTTGGTGCTCTTGGCAAAGTGGGAGGAGAAGTGAGTGAATCAAATTGTAAGGGTGCTGAGTGTCAAAGACAAAGGGAAAGCTAATGATAGTAAAGATCTTTTCATTTAACCTATTATCCTAATCAATCTGTTCAGAAATATGATTGTATACTGTGGGAGCAGGAGGGACTTGAACCCAGGTTTCTCAGCCCAGAGGTAGTGGTACTACCACTGTTCCATGAGAGGGGCCCCAAAACCCCTAGGATTTGAATGTAGGACCTCCAGTTTACCAGGCAGTCATTTTAACCAACTAAACAACATTACAACTAGCTGATAGTAAAAGAGAGAAGTTGATGCAAAACAGGTGAGTTTGATTAGTGCAAATAGTAAAAAATAGTTCAGTTTTGCTGACAGCAATTCCATATTATCAATGCACAGGGGTGGAGTGTGATATTGATTGATATGATGTTGATTGGTTGAATATTAGCAGGACACTAGGGAAGAAGACCCTTGCGGTTGTTCTTTGAAATAATGCAAGGGATCTTTCCACCCGAGAAGGCATTTGGTTTAATGTCTTATCCGAAATAACAATGAAAGAACTAATGGCATTAAATCAGCTAGGCAAGTGGGTGTAAATGGCATACATTTGTAGTTCTTACTTTGTGTTTCTCAGTTGTCAATTGTTACCCCATGAAAATGACTTTATTATCCTCTGTTCATTACAGTAGGAAATGTGATTGAGGGAATCAGCAAATCATTGGAAACAAATGAGTCACTAAAATTGGCTTCAAAAAAGGTTGTGCATGAGAAATTTGATTATGTTTTTTTCAAGAAGTTACCGTCATTTTCAACTGTACAACTGTTTGGTGTTTGGTAGTGTGTACCTAATGGCCCTTTGTTCTGTGTGCTATTCTTCAACCCTGTCAGGAAAAGCAAGAAGTCGTAAGCAAGAGAGACCAGACATTTCAGAATTAGTCGTAAACTAAACTCCTATTTAAACAAAGAACTTGGAGTGTCATTTCTGCAATTCTCTAAGGTATAAAAACTCAACAAATTGTTGAAAAGGTTAGCAGAAGTGTCAGGTGGCTGATGGAGCAGCTGCAGATCTAAAGCTCATGTCAGGTTGAGCTGATGGTCATTAATGAAACATTAGTTTCCAACAGATACTTTTACAGTTATAATTAAATGATGAGTTCTCATACTAAGTGTTGACTAGGGATCAATGCTTAGGAATGAAGTTAATTTCAAGAAGGTAAAGTTGCTGCTTACAAACTGGGTTTATTGCTGATGAAAATATGCTGACTCGCCTTTCAAATATATATCATCCTCCTGGGGAACATGGAGCAGTTAATAATCTATCAGTAAAAACACTAGCTATGATGTAAGGTGTGTGATTTATATTTATTTTAATATAATTTATTTTGAATTTTAAATTAGTGGCACATGAGTTTTGTGAATGTCTGAAGGGTTTTAAAAATTAACTTACAAATATTTCTGTGGCTATGGTGATTTATTTTAAAACACAGTATTAGAGAGAAACATCCTTGAGAGAAATGGGGTTTTGTTTACTTTGGGAGAGTTTGAGTGACAAAGTAAACAGTGCACAGCATTAAATTTTCAAATAGAAGATTTTGGGCTTTTTGGGTGTTTTAGGAAGATGTTTTCAGGTTCTCATGACCAGGAACTGAAGACACGGCTAAATTATTTATATGGGATGGAGATGGATATTCTCTCTGGTGTTTGAGTAATATGATGGAACCCTGTTGGGATCAATGGGATTGTATTTTTACCATGTGTTTCAAAATCTTTAAATTCGTGTTATTGGTAAATAATTTGGTTTATTGTTTTTTCATTTCTTTTGCATAATAAATTTCTGTTTTATTGTTAACCCCAAATCTACAGCTTTGTGTGCTTGTGTTTCACTGAAAGAGCACATCTTTAAAGCTAAGTAAACAAAATATGATCTATCAAGTCAGGTTTCAGTCTGGGATCTGACTTGTCTAGTAATAGCAGCAACTAGGATAATAACACTGCTCATAAGCAACAAAGAGTTTAGCTATATGTCATCCTGAAAACCCTGTTTTTGCTGGATGGATATGGCCTGGGCTTTGAAACTATTTTCAGATGGGTTAGGCTCTTGCGTTGGATCATAATGTTCTGCTCCTTTTGGCTGCAACTGGTTCAAAGGTGATTTTGAATGTCCCTGAGAGAGAGTGAATATTCTTCAAAAAATTGATCTTCCTTTTGCCATATGCAATAACAACTCCTTGTTAGTAAGAAGGCCACTGTTTCATTCCTCTTGAACGTGTTGGCATCCTTACCATGTAAGAAATATATTTACTAACCAATTAACAAAGGTCTATGATCACCAAAACATTGAAGGGTGAAGGATGTTTTCCCTCAAAAAGGACTGCATCTTTGATCACTAATTACTATTGCCACTGGAGCCTAGAATGTATTCTATTAACTTGTTCAGATCAAAGATAGTTTTTTAAGTGGTTTAGACTGCATCATGTGGGGTCAGTGTACGTTTCTGCATGTTGCTGAGTGTCAGGAAACTCTTATGAGTGTACATAGAAGCCTCATTGACTGCTTGGTTCTTTTTTACAGATCATTGTTGGGTCTCATTGGTCATGTGAATTCCACCAATAGCAGTACCCTCTAATATCTTTGGAGGCTTCACCAGTTTTGTGACATTGGCATGGTTTAGAAAGGGGCTCATGGATGTGAAGACCTTACATGCCCTTTGCTCTCCAATCAAGTTGCTTGACAGTATCCTGCAACATTGGATCATCATCAACTTCATTAAATGGGTGACTGCCTTGGTCAAGAATCGAGCTGTGCAAAAAGAGTCACTGCTGAGTAAGATTTGTTGTTGACCCCTGAATTACAAATTGGCCACATATTATTGCTGACTATGGAACTACTCGACTACACTTGAAGACATGTCGTGCAGCTAAAATTGTCATTGCCTCCGCAGCCAAAGTCGTAAACGATAGCCTTTTAGATGCTCATTCATGCAGCAAGATCTTTTAACAATGATAGCAAAGGCAAGTGGAGTTAAGGGTAATCAGATCAGTCACAATTTCAATGAACGTGGAGCAAACTCAATAGACTGAATGGCCTACATCTGCTCCTACATCTTAAAATCTTATGGTCCTTTTGACTATTACATTAACGTACAAACAGATTAACATGGGAGCATCAGAGTGCTCAAAGGGTACTGTGAAGTTACATGATGCAGTATAACTTCAGTCTATTAGAATCAGTGGTCAGATCATGCAGGATCTGCTCAGCGTTCACATTTACACAAAAACGCTCATGCTAAATAGATTTTTCGCTGGCTAAAACCTCTGGTCATTTTTGGTCAAAAGAGTCCTCTGGGCTAGCGATTGATGTTCTCAACAAATTTGTTAAAAACATACTTGATGTTTGGTTAGAGTTATACTAAGTTGGTGCCTGATCCAGTAGACTGTGGTAAACACCATGCAGTTCGTTAATAACAGAGTGTTGTGTGCAGCTTAAGTGAAAATCCTAAATAATCTAATCAGCTGCACACAGTATAATCTAACTAACAGCAGGATGACAAGTGTGGAGTCTGACAACATAATTGGCAGAGCCTCAAGTCTAAGACTATGAACAGTCTGTTGTTGGAGATGCTGATGCACTAGAAAAAGATTCTTAGTGAGAGCAAAAATAGCACCATACAGTCTTGCATATATCAAAAATCCTAAAGTGACCTATCTGGAGGCTATTGCAAATTGGAACAATTGATAAAGACTTATTGGATTTATTCTTGTGAAATGTGTGTAGGATGCTTGATAAGTTAGTTTAGAACAATGAGTATTATTGAACTATACAAACATAGACATCATCACAACCAAATCCTATCTTGTCGTGCCTGAGGTCTACATACCTGACTGTTTTATGAGTGGTAACAGTCAGGGTGAGACATTAACTCATTTAAAACCTATCCACTTTCACACAGTTAAAATTGAGCTCAATATCTCCTGTCCTGGATTTTACGTATATCCAGTAGTTAACACATTAGATCAATGAAAACATTACTGATCTAGTTGAGGGTTACAGGACAAGACAAGTGGTGCAATCATCTTAAAGGACAAATAACGCAGTGCCTTTAATTAGACCAATGCATGAGCTGCCTACTGTACACAGGCTTTATCAGGGTAATGCAGAAAATCATATTTCATGTTGTTTTGGTTCAATACAATGCAACCCAATAAACTAATCTCATCTGACCATGTGCATTTAAACATTAATGCAATGTATTACAGGGTGTTTATCCACCAACTTAGCACTTATTGGGCTCATTTAACATAGTAAAACATCTGAAAGCTCTTCACGCAAGTATCATGACTTAAGGAGATATTAGCTCTTGCATTGGTGCAATGACCAAAAGCTTAACAAAGTTGGTAGGTTTCAAGGAATGCCTTAAAGAAGGGCAGGCAGGTAAGGAAGACTGAGTTTTTTCAGAAGTGTAAACCAGTGCATGGGAATAAGTTTGCTGAAAGCATGGTCACTAATGGTGAAGAGATTAAATAAATGAATGAAAAAGACTGAAGGAGTGCAGGGATCATCACGAGTGTTGGAGCTGGGGAGTTAAAGATATTGAAGGCATTGAAAACATGCTGACTTTAATCTCTGCTGTAAAGTATCTACACCAATAATATGCACAATAGCAAAGAAGCCAGATATAATTGCTGTCAATGTATACATTAATGACGTTTGTATTAATCACTTGAAATATTTGTAGTTCCTGCTCACCTGATTAAAGGGTCGAACACGGACTGCCACTTTCACACTGTCAGCACTTAGCATTTTTCATCCCTCCTTCATTTCCCCAGCTGGGGAAAGCAAAATTTGATAAATTAATAATTGTATGAGATGCAGCCTAGCTGTCTTGTTTAGCCTGCTGTTTATTTCAGCACCAAATACAGACTGTCACTTTTTAACTTGAGTGCTTTTTATCTGCTTCTCTGCTTACATTACTTTCTCCTTTGTGAGCTATGTTGTTTCAGTGACTGTGGACGAGAGGGAATTGTTTCTGTCAGGCTAGTTGAAGCAAGTGCAGCAACCGTGTTGAGGGGTGGGAGTTAATTAAAGAGTTAGCTGAACACTTATTGCTCAACTAACACTCAGAAACTGAAGTATCCCTGGAGACATTAAATACTTTGAAACCTGCATATCTCCCCCAGCCCCATCTCCACAGGGAACCACTCTTAGATGGTGTCCATCTTATTAGGATATGGTGAGGTAAAGAGAATATGTAAGTTGAATATTTAGGTTGTTTGAGCCATGTCACTGAACTTAACAAAGCATCTTGAAATGGATAGAGTAAATAATGAAACAGCAAACTTGAAACCGATCTTTCAGTTTGGGAAAGGATAGGCAGATTCTCTGGTAACTGTAGAGTCGTATGGAATTTCCAGGCTAGTTTAAAGCCAACTCATACATTTTAATTTGAAGAGAAATAAAGTGCAATTGAGAAGAAATTGTAATTCGCAATTAGTTTCACTGTCTTTAGAGGTGGTGTTATCCCTAAACTGAACAAATACAGGATAACATTTTAAAACATGAGTAATAGTAGACGATAAATTTTAATAGGATTTTTACTCATATTTACTCATATCAAAAGAGTATGAGAAGACACTAGCGGCTAATATAAACAGGAACTCAAAGACTTCTCATGGGTAAAGTAACAAAAGGTTCATAAAAATGGTTGGCACTGGTTGAACAGATGCTACCTATGGATGTAGTCAGGGAATATGGCTCAGTTACTAAATTAGCACATTGCATCCGTCTTTACCAAGGTTCCTGTCAAAATCACAGTGCAAGAGAAAATTGATGGACTAAAAATTGATAAATAAGAAATAAAGGTAGAGAGTGATGGAGGCAGAAAGTCCATGATTTTTGAAAAACAAATTGGAGGGGATTTGAAGAGTATAAACTTTCAAAATCATGGGCATGGGACTGACTGGATTGCTCTGCAGAGAGCCCATGGGGACTCAATGGGCTAAATGGCTTCCATTTGAGCCGCAAACCAGTCTCTGACCCAGTGTCAAGGTGGGTGGCTATAATTATGTTTGATGAATCACCAGGATTGGAATAAGATATATCAGTGATAGATAAAAGTAAGGATGAATGTGGCTGACACGTTGGCCATAATCTTCCTGTCCTTCTTAAACACAGGCTTACAATCATTTACAATGCTCTCATAAGGCACAAAGTTAGAAATATGATGGAAAACTCATCATATGTCTAGATGAATGCAGCTCTAACAACACTCCATTAGTTCCAAAGGGGTGGGGTGTGGGAGAATGGAACTTAGTTTTTCAGTTCTGTGAAGTTGAAGTAGAAAAATTTTTTGGACCTTAATAGAGTTATATAGCATGGATCAGACCCTTCGGTCCAACTAGTCCATGCTGACCATGTTACCAAATAAAACCAGCCCCACTTGCCTGTGCTTGGCCCGTATTCCTCCAAACCTTTCCTATTCATACAGTTATTTGAATATCCTCTAAACATTGCAACTATACCTACATCCACTACTTCCTGCAGCAGCTCATTCCACACACGAACCACTCTCTGAGTGTTGCCCCTCATGTCCTTTTAAAATGTTCTCTTGTCACCAGTTTTAAACTTCCCCAACCTAAGGAAATGTACGTTTTGGTTGGCATGTTCATAGCTGTACCAATCTGTCAGAAGACTATACTATTGAAAAGGCAACAGTCAGTGCTTACAAACTTGTACCTGAAACTTCTCAATGAAAGTTCAGGACTATAAGGAAAGAAGCTACTCAGGTTTATATAATTTGCATGAGAAAGGGAAATGCTGTTGTTTCAACCAATGAAGTTCCAAAACAAAAAAAAGAGAATGAGAGGGAATCATGATTTTGGGAGCATTCTGAAATAGTGTCTGGAAACCCCTAATAACTTAATTAGATGAGCATTGGATTTTCAAAAATTTGTAGTTTGGACAGTTCTGGCATATAGTTATGCTGTCCCACATAGACAATGTAATGTGAAATGGTCAAATGAGAATCCACAAGCAAATTGGAGGAATAGACAGTGTGGCGATGGAAAAGTTAATAGTTTTAAGGAACTAACAGAAGGGTGTCAAAATAATAACGGAGAAAAGGCTAAGCCCTATAAGTGATATAAAGAAAATAATATATAATCATAGTAATAAGATCATGCACACTAAAGGTAATCGAAATTAAATAGGAGACCTAATTAGGAACTAGAGGAGGAACACCCAATAAATTCTAAGGGTGCACCAGGGTAGAGAGTAAATATTAAAATTGTAGCAGTAGTGCAGATAAAGCATATTCTTGCAGAACCTACAAGGAAGGTAGAAATGGCTCAGGACTGTTAAGAAAATTCTTCCTTAATTAGTGTTACAATGCTGTCATTTTAAGAGGTTATTTTGTCCAGTTTTTGTTTTGAAGAGGGGTTTTGACGCAAAGGTACTAAGCTAGCTAGTTAAGACCACTTGTATAAACTACTTGGGAGGCCTTGGGTCTTTCTTTTTAACACCCTGAATGGGTGTGGCCAGCTCTCATAGATTAGGATTTCTGGGTTTTGGTTTCTCAACTGAATCAGAAGTATCACAAACTATTGGTGTCTCAACGGAATTGGAAGCTTCAATGAATGTTTCCTGGCTGCTACTTTCTCTGAGTTTTCTCTTGATGCTTTTTTTCCTCCTGGATGGGAGAACTGGATGTTAGAATCTGTGCCTGAATTTTCCTTTTTTATGCCAAGGGGTATGTTTATGGGATGTTACTATATTGGAACAGTTAATTAGCAATAGTTACTCTATCCATTATTCTGTTATGTTTTCCAATAGAGTCAATTTATTCTAAATTCCTCTTTCTTTTGTTGTATTTTAATTATAGTGTTTAAATAAATTGTGTTTTGTTTAGTTTGACCTGTTTAGTTTTGACCTATAGTAGTTTGATCTGTTGCATTGCATCTGGAACAGACATTTTAAATTTTCCTTTCAAATAAAAAAAAGTTAGGGTCTAGGCTACATTAAAATATTTTGAGGGGGTCTGGTCTGGTCCATAACATTAGTGCTTAAGAGAATCAATCTACTGGAGATTCTGAAATTTCATTTCAAAGGGAAAGTGTTTCTTTACTCTTCTAATGAAAATGGGCAACCAATGAAGATTGTGGAGACACCGGAGCAAGATGATCATTGGTGTGATGCTTACATTTCAACTCATCTTCCAGATAAATTAATGGGGCAGTCATGTTTATCCCACTTTTCTTAAGTAGACATATAACAGATAGATCCTGAGTTAGGAGAGGTATATCAGAAATTGAATCAGAACCTAAGTGTTATTGTTTAAGAGACAAATTCTTAATGAGGAAACAGAGGCCAGCTCTTACACCAGCTCATGAGGAATGGGCAGTGATCCATCAGGCGTTTCAACAAAATTTTGAGACAGTGTCTTTGGTGAAAATTACTACAAAAATGGTAGTAGAGAAGTTAGTTCAATTTATTCCACAAGATATGGGTTACCCAAAAAAAAAGACAGACCAAGGAACAAATTTCATCCAAAATATTCAAATAAATAATTAATCATTTAGGAACAAAACAATTTATATCTTTATCTTATTATCCATAATCTCAATGAGCATTCGAAGGATGGCTTCAAGTTTTAAAGACCAGGATTAGTGTTTATTTTTGGGAATGTTTTAATGATTAGAATAGAGATTTTCCCCTGTTACTGTTTTATCATAAGGGATGCTCCTAATGAAATCTTATAAAGGTGAGAGATTGCCTTAAAAATTAAGTAAAGAAAAAGGTTGAGATTGGACGTCTGACATATGTGTCAAGATTCTGAGAAAAATTAAAGTATGACAGTTGGTTCAAAGCATTTGAAGATTGTGCAATAATGAAAGCTAGAGCAGATTTTTATAAAAAAGCTCAAAATTTTGTCACTGGACACAGTGCTGACACACAATGCGTGCTCCAGACAGGAGAAAAAAAATTCAGTGAGAGAATTATATTATGTTGAAATGACATTATGCAAGGAGGATAGTCAGGAGAGAAAAATGTTTATAATGCTTAAAGAATTAAGGAGTGAAATAAAAATATCACAGCAATTCAAGTATGAATCAGAAATTGAAAATTCTAAAGTTGAACCTTCAGTAATCAGGTTGGTTGATATGAAGATACTTAGAGTCGTATTCATGAAAACAGAACTTCGGTCCAACTCGTCTATGCCGGCCAGCTATCCTAAATGAATCTAGTCCCCTTTGCCAGCATTTGGCCCATATCCGTCTAAACCCTTCCTATTCATATCCCCATCCAGATGCCTTTTAAATGCTGTAACTGTACCAACCTCCACTATTTTCTCTAGCAGCTCATTCCATATATGCACCACCCTCTGTGTGAAAAAGTTGCCCCTTGGATCCCTTTTAAATCTTTCCCCTCTCACCTTAAAACCTATGTCCTCCAGTTTTGGCTCCCCCACCCTGGAGAAAAGACCTTGCCTATTTACCCTATCCATTCTCCTCATGATTTTATAAAGTGCCATTGTTTTGATCTTTCTTTTCCCAAAGTTCCAAAATAATGCAACGACTTATAAAACAGTAATTACTGCTACAAGAATTCAAGGAAATCAGCTCTAACACTGAAAATATCTCAAAAAAGCAGCATCTCCCGCAGCCACAATTTTTTTTCTGCCCTCCATCTTGGATTACCCAGAATCCTTGAAAAGTTTGATGGAATATCATGCTATCTAACAGAACTGTACTGAGGTAACTAACAAAAGCTGTTATAATGACTCAAATCAATTTGTGCAAATAGTC